AGGGTCTCCATGCCGGAGACCTCCCCAGCCTTGCTGTGGACGGGGAAGGTTGGCGATGCGTCTGCGTTCCGTGTCTGGGGATCTCGGGCGTTTGTCCGCGACTTGTCTGCGGACAAGCTGTCCCCTCGTGCTGCTCCTTGCGTCTTCCTTGGCTTCCCCCCTGACGCGCCAGGGTGGCAGTTCTACCACCCCACCTCTCGCCGTGTTCTGTCCTCCCAGGACGTCACGTTTGACGAGTCGGTCCCCTACTACCGCCACTTCCCCTACCGCACTCCGTCCCTCCCCCCGCCACCGCTCTTCCTAGTACCAGGTCCCCCCCCGGTAGACCCCCTCCCCCCTCAGGGTCCTGCCCCTTCAGGTGTGTCCCAGGTAGACGCCGTCGAGCCTGTCGAGGTTACTGGTGACTCTGGTGCTGCTGAGGGTGCTGAGCCTGGGGGTGCTGACTCTGGGGGTGCTGAGCGTGTGGGTGCTACGCCTGGGGGTGCTGAGCCTGAGGGTGCTACTACTGGGGGTCCTGAGCCTGGGGGTGCTGAGCCTGGGGGTGCTACTACTGGGGGTGCTGAGCCTTGGGGTGCTGAGCCTGGGGGTGCTACGCCTGGGGGTGCTGAGCCTGGGGGTGCCACGCCTGGAGGTGCTGAGCTTGGGGGTGCGGAGCCTGAGGGAGCTGGGCCTACTCGTGTGGCGTCTGGCGGTGCTGAGCCTGGAGGTTCTCCGGGTGCTTCGTCTCGGCGGGAGCCACTCTCTCCACAGGAGCTGCGCGAGTGGTTTGCCCGGCGCTGGAGGCGTGCTGCTGGAGCTGGAGGTTCTTCGGCTGCTGAGGGTGCTGGTGCCGCGGGTCCCGGAGGTGCTCGTACTGGGAGTACTGGAGCTGCTGGGCCTGCGGGTACGACTGGAGCTGGAGCTGCTGAGGGTGTTGGCGCTGAGGCTACTGCTGTCGGTCCTGGAGGCGGTCCTGCTGGGGGTGCTACTGGTGCTGCTGGAGGTACTGGAGCTGGAGGTGCTGCTGGCGCTGGTGCTGCCGCTGGGGGTACTGGTGCTGTCCCTGCTGTGTCTGGAGTCGCCGCGCGGCCTAGGCCGTACTTCGTTCCGCTCCTTCAGCAGGTTCTTGGTCTCCCGCCTTCTACTGGTCCTCCTCCTCCCTTCGAGTGTCCACAGCCTGTCCCGTCACAGTTACTGTTACAGCCGGCCTCCCCACTGCCCGCTCCTTCTCCCTACACTGGTCCTACTGGAGGTCTTGCTGAGCGTCGTGAGCCTGCGTCTCGCCCTGCGTCGCCTGTCCGTGCTGCTCGCACTAGTGGTCGTGGTTCGCGTCAGCGTCCTCCTCCTGTCCCTGGCACGCACCGGATGTCTCTGCGTCCGTCCACTGCTCCTCTGCGTGCCCCTTTGCCTTCTCCTCCTGAGTCCTCTCTTCCTGCTCTTCCTGACCCGGAGTCGGACTCTCTTCGTGCTGCCAGTCATACTGTCACGCGTCTCCTTGCTACTGTTGTCACTGACCCTTCCTTTGAGTCCACTGCTGCGTCTGCCCTAGTTACTGAGCTCGTCGACTTTGCTGCTCGCTGTCGTCTAGACTACGCTGCTAGTCTTGTTGCTGAGTCTGAGTCTGTCTGTCCTCCGTCCGTCGGGGGTGAGTGTGCCCTTGGCACGGACGTCCTTGAGGACAGGCAGGAGGAGTTCCAGTGTTTGGCTGCTGCTTCACCTCATCTCGTGTCCGTACTGCTTACCCCTGAGGGAGACCCGGATGCACTTGACATCCCGACTCCGCGCTCTTACGCGGAGGCGATAGAGGGTCCCTACTCCTCTCAGTGGCAGGCAGCTATGGACGCAGAGATGGCTTCCTGGAAGTCCACAGGCACCTACGTTGACGAGGTTCCCCCGCCTGGGGCGAACATCGTCAGTGGCATGTGGATTTTCAGGGTGAAGCGGCCGCCGGGTTCTCCGCCTGTCTTCAAGGCGCGTTACGTGGCTCGTGGCTTCAGTCAGCGGCAGGGAGTTGACTACTTTCAGACCTTCTCTCCCACCCCGAAGATGACCACTCTTCGGGTACTGCTGCACATAGCTGCTCACCGCGACTACGAGCTGCACTCTCTTGACTTCAGCACTGCTTTCTTGCAGGGCAGCCTGCACGAGGAGATCTGGCTGCGTCGCCCACCTGGCTTCACTGGGTCTTTTCCTCCTGGCACCCAGTGGAGCCTCCGGCGGCCAGTCTACGGTCTCCGCCAGGCACCGCGTGAGTGGCACGACACACTGAGGACTACACTTGCGGCTCTTGGGTTTGCTCCCTCTACTGCCGACCCGTCGCTGTTTCTGCGCACCGACACTTCTTTGCCGCCGTTCTACATCCTCGTGTACGTCGACGACTTGGTCTTCACCACAGCTGACACTGCTGGACTCGCCCACGTGAAGTCCGAGCTGCAGAAGAGACACACGTGCACAGACCTGGGTGAACTGCGCAGCTACCTTGGCTTGCAGATCACCCGGGACAGAGCACGCCGCACCATTACCCTGACTCAGTCACACATGGTGCAGCAGGTCCTTCAGCGCTTCGGCTTCACGTACTCCTCGCCTCAGGCCACTCCTCTGCCTACTCGCCACTCGCTCTCAGCTCTGCCTTCGGATGAGTCCGTAGAGTCGAGTGGCCCGTACCCAGAGCTTGTTGGCTGCCTCATGTACCTGATGACCTGCACACGACCTGACCTTGCATACCCTCTTAGCATTCTTGCACGCTATGTTGCTCCTGGGAGACACAGACCGGAGCACATGGCTGCAGCGAAGAGGGTGTTGCGCTACTTGTGCAGTACGTCGGGCATGGGGCTTGTGCTTGGAGGGCAGAGTCCAGTGGTCCTCACTGGGCACGCAGACGCTTCTTGGGCTGACGACCAGGCTACGCAGCGGTCGTCACAGGGTTACACCTTCAGCCTTGGTTCCGGCTCTGTTTCGTGGCGGGCTACCCGCTCATCTTCTGTTCTCGGCTCCAGTTGTGAGGCTGAGATCTACGCCGGGGCCATGGCTGCACAGGAGCTTCGCTGGCTCACCTACCTGCTGACTGACCTCGGAGAGCCGCCTCGTTCTCCTCCAGTGCTGTACGTAGACAACAAGGCCATGCTGGCCTTGTGTCGAGAGCAGAGACTGGAGCACAGAACGAAGCACATTGCTCTCCGCTACTTCCTTGCTCGTGAGCTACAGCAGCGTGGTCAGCTACGGCTTGCGTACGTGGCCTCTGAGGCCAACACTGCTGATATCTTCACCAAGGCACTTGCGCCTTGTGATCATCAGCGCTTCTGTACTCAGCTGGGTCTTGTGCCTACCTTGCCTCACTTGCTCACCCCTTGACCTTGTTTGTACTGTTGCATATATATATACACCTGCTCTTGCTTGTCTAGCCTTATATATATATGTAATCCTGCATGTGAACTGGCCTTGTGGCCTTGAACTTGTGCTCGGAATGTGTGGTGACTTTGTGATCCACCCTGAGCTTGCTTTGCTTTGCTTGACTGGTCTTGTGACCCCTTGTTCTCCCCCACTTTGCCTATGGGGGTGTGTCAGATTTATATGACATAGCTACTGTAGGCTATAGTGGGGTAGCACATATGGGGTACAGTTTTCTAGGGTTTGCTTTTGTACCCAACTTTCCCTTAGTCAATTCATTCCTCATTTCTTCACAGAGTGTTGGCCCCGCCCTCGCTTGAACAACGTCGACGTCCTGGTCGGATGCACGGGAGAAGCAACCGACCGTACGCAGTGAGGGAGCTGCTCGACGGGCTTCGTCGAGCTGCAGGGGATCACTGCGGTGTTGCCGTCGACCGGGGGAGCTCGACGACCTTCTTCTGTGGGGCAGGTCGACGAGGTGGTCGTCGACCTGCACAGGACTGTCGGGGCTGGACCGTCGACCAGGGGAGCTCGACGGCAGCAGCTGACTGGGCTGGTCGACGGACGGGTCGTCGACCAGGAGGAGCAGCTGACAGTGCTGGTCGACGGAGGGGTCCTCCGTCGACCAGGGTATTCATCAATGGGAGCTGTGGTCGACGAGGGAGGCGTCGACCTGGGTGGTCGACCAGGTCGACCAGGTAACCTGCTCGACGAGTTCTGCGGAGGCACGCGAACGTCGTCGAAGTCGCGGTGACGAAGGCGACTTTGGGCTGGTATCCCGAAGTAAATGTGGCTCGTCAGGCGCAGACCGCAACCGACAGATGCACGACGGTGCAAGTCGGCCCAATCGTCTGCGCGCACCTGCATACGTGCGCACTGCTGTCTTCTACGGGTGCAACGCCTGTCTTTCACCACGTCCCAACATGTGCATTTTCATGAACATCAGCACTCGGTCACCTGATATGTGCTGCCTTCTGGCAGGGTAATAGGGCATGCTGCCAGAGGTTGCTCAAGTCACATTCTTCTTCTTTTGTGTAGTTTCCTATGTATGTTACAACTAAAACTGTACAAAACATTGAATATTTATGACACTCCCTCGAATCAATGCTCCAGGAGTTTCTTTCGTGACACCGACAGGTAAGTTGCCATGTCATCCTTCTGTGACCGCCAGGTGTATGCCATCAGCAATCCATGCAAGCCGAGTCACACGCCGCCGTGGATTTATTATTCCTCACGTCAAGGCATTCCCCGGCGCCTCTCGAGCCCTTGCTTTTTCGTTCCAGCCCTTGCTTTTCCGCCTCTGCCTCAACAACAGCAAACTTCCCCGCCCGCACCCCCGTTCACTTCCTGCATCACTTGCGCTCTTTCCCACCATTCCCATGTCCCGATTCGTCCCACAAAGCGCTGCCGCACTGTTGCTGTTTCCCTACCGAGTCGCACTCTGCGGTCGTCGTTGTCAATTGGAAGACAAGGCCAGCCCTGCCCCACCTTTCCGCTCCATTTCCCTCTATAGGGCACACAATACTCACGGCCCCCAAACCCGCGCGCTAGAATGAAAACAAGCCCCCTGCGCGCACCCACCAAACTCAAACTAGCACCAATCAGCCCACTGTACTCATCCGCCAATCCGCAGCATGTCTTCCTTCGCGGTGCTACGCACACTCAGCCCCTCCTGCCCCTCCCCCCCGACGTTCCAGATCCACCCTGATTCCTTATCAACCCTCACCTGGCATCCTCACCGCACGATGCAGTCAAGGGAGGGAAGCGCCTCGGCGAACCCGCCGCCCTTCCCCCCTCACCTGTGTTCTCGCCGGTCGCCTGTCTCGATCACATCGCCCCCTCACCTCACCTCATGCACTCCCCCCAACTGCATCATGTATGCCTCCATCCACCAACCACAAATTTGCCATCCCGCACGCGTGCAACTTCAAAGCATCTTCCGCTCCTGCGGACACGAGCGAGCCAGGTGGCGGCGGTGTTTCCCCGACCCCTTTCCACCCCACCCCACCTCTAGTTCAATTTACAGCACAGCAAAGCGCAGCACTTCCCAGGTTCAGTGTTGTGCCTCCGCCTCCTCCCCTCCTCCCCACTTTCCCTCTTGGTGGTGGAACTGCCAGTGGGTCAGCCAGCCGCCGACAAACATCCTCTTGCTGATCATCCCAAAGTGCCCCTCAACGCCCACGTAACTCGCCATTCGGTTCAAACGACATTGACGGACCATTTTTTCTTGTGCTTAGCTATCAGGCACCTGGAGGAAAACCTGCAGTGCGGTGTGCGGTTAGTCCTAGGGGAAAGCTGTGCCTCGCAGCTGCCAGCTCCTAACGCCCGAGGATGAACCGACTAACTGTACGGACTGCCCATACCGACTGCCGATTCGCATTACCGTAGAAAGCGGAAAGTGCTCGAGCGATCAGCAGCCTCGCTGACCCGTCCGATTCATCTTACTTACGATCCACCATGCCACCTCACACAATGTCTGCTCGCTCGCGCTCCCATTCCCAAGCGCATCCGTCCATCCAGCCTTTCGCGATCCGCAACCTGCCAGCCCTCCTCCTCTTCCTGGTCGTTGCCGTTTCACGTTCCGGAACCGCATTTGCGAACACCGTCGACGACAGCTGGTACAACCGCAACGTTCGCTATGACCCGAACCATTCCGCTGTACCAAATGCCATCACACCGAACGGCGCGCAATCGTCCTTGGACGCGTGCCTAGCCAGAAACGCACAATATATAAACGATTCGAGCTATCCGCGGCCGCCGTTCCCCACGCTGTGTCCGCCCGAGGGGCTCTTTGAAGTGTGCTACGTGAAAGGTGAGCTCGTGACGACATATTGACTGGATCAGGAAATGCTGTTGGGTGTTATTTCTTACGTATAAGGGTGGCAGCAGCTGAGGTGTGGACGAACAGTTCGAAGGCGCCACCGACTGGTGTTAAAGTGTCAGCAATCAAGATCAGCCAGGCCGGAGGGGGGAAGAAAAATGTCAACGACGGCCAGCTTGACCGGAGACGAGTTATGTTTTTTCTGATCTTTACTTCAAGTGTGCCGTTGGTAAGACTAAGAGTAAGAATCTGGTAGAGTGCATTATATCGCTACTTCTGAGGTGAAGAAAAAAGGAACTTGAAGTCGAGAGTTGATCATTTCCCCCTGCCCTCCTCACCCCTCGTCTCTTCTGTTATCCCGTTAACTTAATGCGCAGGACCCATTGCCTTCAACATTTCTCCTACGTTCATCGGCACCAGATGGAAAGGATGGGGGACATCACTTGCATGGTATGTTGAAAACCCTTATTGAAGTTCAGTCTCGCCAAAATGTTGCGATTAACGCATTGGTACAGAAGAAAAAAAACCAGCTATCTACGTCTACACGACAGAAACTCAGGGCATGCCTCACACCCTCCCCCCCCCAACCACCAAGGGGAAAGTTTTGCTCGCATGAGATGCTGAGCAGGAACTAAACGGCTCGTGTTTTCTGTGTCGTAAAGACCTTCATTTCGTAGCACGATAATGCAAAAAGGATAAGTTTTTTTTTCTACTGTTTAACGCTTCAACAACCTATTACCTTTCCTAAAATGCAGGTTTGGGAACTACGTTGGCGGACTGCCCAAGAAGCGCCTCAACACGCTCATGGATTTGATTTTCAAAAAGGAAGGGCTCAACTTCAACATCGTCCGTTACAACATCGGAGGGGGTTTCAACGCGCGTTTCAGCCCCCAGTTTCTCACGGGAACAGCTACGGACTGGCGGGGTGTTCCTGGATTTAAGCCCACACAAGCTGGAGCGTATAACTGGCAAGCAGATAGACGTCAGAAGGCCGTTCTAAGGGGGGCCCGGGAACGCGGAGCGAATATTTTCGAAGCTTTCTCGAACAGCCCTCCCTGGTGGATGACGTACACGCGTGACGTTGCGGGAGCCACAGTACCAACCCATACCAATCTGCGGCCGGCACACGAGTCGTCATTCGCAAACTACTTGGCAGACGTCGTGCAGAAATTTGCCAAGGATCCGAAGTGGAACCTTACGTTTAATACTGTGGACCCTTTTAACGAGCCGCTGGAAGGGTTCTGGAAGGCAGGCGCTGCGCACGAAGGATGCAGCTTCCAGCCTCCGGAAATGGGACGTGTTATTCAGAAAACCACCATGGCTCTTAAATCGAGAGGGCTTAGAACGAAGCTGGCTGGGGTGGACAGTTGGTCTCATCACACGACCAAATCTCTTCCTAAAGTAGCTGGGAGGATGCTACTCGAGAGAATCAACATCCATTCTTATCTCGGGACCCCTCCTGACGGTGTATCTCATCCTCGCTGGACAAACCTAATGTACGCACGGATGCGCAACATGGCTAGGGGGATGAGGAAGGAGGTTTGGGTGTCGGAAGGCGGGCCAATCGGATTCGCGGGGCATCCGTTTGACGTGACGCTCTACGTGGCTCGGCAAGTCATTGAAAGCATCAATATTCTCGAAGCCTCGGCATATGTGTATTGGCAAGCCGTAGATCCGAATGACTGGTGGACGTTGATCAAGATCCCTTGGGAGTATCCGCTGCGAAAGGCAGTTGCGGAATTGCAAGACCAAGGGATTGTGCTGGGGAAGCGTTACTGGGTGTTCAAGCAATTTTCGAAAAATGCACCGCAGGGGAGCAGGCCGCTGAGAGTCCCGTTTTCGTGCTGGCATTCCGTCGCTGCTTTCTACAACGAAAAGTACATGTTCGTCAGCGTGTTTTTCGTCAACCAGAAGGCGAATAAAGTGAAGCTGAACTTCGGGTTGGACGGGTTCAGGACGAATGTGGGGAATCCAACGAGGGTGGTTGCGCACAGGACGACTTGGCAAGATTCCTACGCTGAAGCGCTTATATCGAAAGGTAAGTCTTCTGTTACTGTGACTTTGGAGGGGCAAAGTTTTGTCTCCCTCATTTTTACCAACATTGCGTTGAAGAAGGGGAAGGGAGGGAAAAGGAATTAGATATGATAATCCCTAGGCAGTTATATTTATACAGGCGAACACAAAGTCCGCCTAGTTCCGGTAGGATTCAGCTTGGTGTTTTTGATTTTCAACCATGGAGTTTATTGCCGTTGTGATGTATTGTAACCTGCTAAATGTAGTTAATGGCAAGACGCTAAGGGCGTGTGTGATTTGTTTTCGAACTTCCCAAAGTTCGAACTTTTATAACGGTTCTACACGGTAGGATACATTTGAGAGATGTGTGGCCACGGTACAAAACGGTTCGAGTTCGAACGTTGACAGTTTTCCAAAAATCACGCACGCCCTAAAAAATACAATCTCCATCCTGGAGATTCCAGGTAAACCCAACACAGGCACCACAATCTGATGTGGTACGGTATGTCCCTTTACGTCTCTTGAGTATACAAGTTACAACCCTTCTTGGTCTGCTTACCCAGCTTAGCAGCACCCTTACTCAGCTCCAACTTACTCAGCTGCACAATACAGATCCCGCCCATCCAGCCGGCATACATTTCCATAAGGCAAGTCCCACTATTATACAACAACAACGGCAACACTACCCACTTCTACTTCCCTTTCTTTTTGGGGATCTTACTCAGCTTCACAATATCAGGATTATGAATGTGCGTAGTGGCCATGCTCACCACCAGCTTGTACAGATCCGGCTCCGGGCGGTTAAAATTCAAATAGTAAAAGCCGTCGTCGATCCGCCGAGGGCCAACGTCTTTTCTCGGGCAGCTCTTAAAACCATTGATGCTGGTGAAGAGGGACGAGCCTGGATTCACACCCAAGTCATCGTTCGCATAATCCATAAACTTTGCCCCGGGAATGTCGGTAAGATTCACCCCCCTCTCGTCATTTAGAGCCCCCCCCGCGACAGTAGGCAAGTTCTCACAGTACTTGTAGTCGAGGGGCCGCCCGTCAGTCTCCACCAGGACGAGGTTTAGGTAATTCTCTGTAGGAAGGCCACTGCATGCCCCTGTTTTCTCTGCAGGCAGCGTTCCCTTGACTTTGGTGTTGCATGGCTTGCCGTTGATGTTGGTCTGGGTGCAAACGTTAGGCCAGAAAGGGTATTTCTGAGGGTGGGGCAGACGAGAGGAGGCAAGAACGGAACAGACAAAAAAGAGTGACTCGCATATTTCATGCACGGCCATAGCAGATGATAACTACCCCACTCACATCATGTCACACTGGGTCGGCAAAGAACATGTGATGCGAGCATCTATTGCTGTACAAACAACAAATGGCAGGCTTTTAACTCCCATGCAAGTTAACCTACAGATGCTCCCTTCTAAAGCGTGTAAGATGTTATTTAACCCCCAGCATGTGCCTCTTGGTGACATCAGCATTGACTCACATTCTCAGGTGCCTCTCAGGTGTTTTCTTAGGTGTTTCTCACCTGTTGGAACAGTGGCGTGTCGTAGTACTGTTTGCGCATGAGCTCCCAGTACGTGCTTTGCAATCGAGCAGAGTCAGGGTGAAACACGTGCTCCAGCCTGGGGGGATTGGGTGCTTTGTTCTTACCGCTTGGAATACTGGCGTGTCATAGTACTGTTTGCGCATGAGCTCCCAATAGGTGCCGGGGTTCTTGTCACAGTTGAGCACAGTCGGAGTGAAACACGTGCTCCACCCTGGCGAGCCCGGAACCTTCTTAATAATCACGCTCTCAATTGAATTCCTGGAATAGAAAAGGAGCAGAAGCTTCAGAACAATATTGTGTTTCACCCCACAGAGCCCATACTTTCTTTATAGTCACATCCTTCCCAGAAATAGCTTTTAGACCAGCAATCCCAACTAGCGAGATGGATGGATGGATGGATGGATGGATGGATGGATGGGATGGATGAATGCACATACCACTTTCCGTTGTTGACCTTGATCCCATCGTATGTGCCGATGCATGCACCCCCCTTGATAGTCACACCGGACGTGACAAAATCGAGGTAGTAGCAGTGGTCTCCGTTGAAGATGTAATTGCACTCTGCTGTGTTGTCTGAGGAGGGTGTAGGTGGTCAGGGAGGGAGGATAACAGGGAGATAATAATGAAGCGCCTCAGATATCAAGGCTGTAACAGCGGTATCCGTTGAAAATGTTAAGACACTCAGCCATATTGTCTGCAGGGTGGATAGAAGGACAGGGCGATTGGAGTGATATCCCTTCAACCCATACATGCAACCCGCCGCCTTGTCTGCAGTGTGGTTGGGAGGGCTGTAGGCTACAAAATAAAAAGTTTCCTCCGAACCAAACCTCGTCCGAACCAAAACTTGTCCGAACCAGAACTTGTCCGAACCAAAGCTCACCTGGGCTGAACCAGTGCACACAGTAGTAAATCCCAGCGGCGTCCTGGTCGCCGGATCTGTTCCGCCCAGCAGCGACGACGTGGTTACGGTCGATCTGCGTGAGCATGCAATCCGCCGCGAAATGCACGTCGGATCCGCAGCGAATTCCCGCGAAGAGAAAATCGTGCACGTAGTTGTTTCGCACGATTGCGCCGATGGTTCCGCGGTGGATAACGATTGGGGTGTGGACGCCTGCGAAGCGGGGCAAAGATTGGGTTGGGGGGAGGGGAAATTCGGTGAGTAAGTTGCGGTGAATTCCTGCGAATGGGAAGGCGCGCGGGTGGTTGTTCCGCACGATCGCGCCGATGGTGACGCGGTGGATAACGAGTGGCGTGCGAAAATACGTCATATATCCGTCTACTCACCGTAAACTTCGTTGTTCGTTATAGCGATGAAGGATTTGCCGAGTGAAGGCCCGTGCCCACTGAAGGTAACTTGAATCACGCCAGGCGACTGGTTGAAGATTGGTATCCCGGTTACCCTCATGGAGTCAATTCGCGACGACATGGTCCGGTGGAGATCAATTCTTCCAAATACACTCCCCTTCGCGACTTGAATTCCGTAAGACCTGATGATAGAAATCGTTGGGCACTGTGCTTTGTTCGTAACTTCGGGTACTGTAGTGCAGGGTGGCGACGACGTGCGAACGCTGAGCTTGAAATCGATCTTCAATACAAGGACGTTGCTCGTGTTCCATATACGCAGTACTGGCTCATTCGCTCCAGTATGAGTGATCCCAAACGGAACCGCGGTGGTGTTCACCGATCGGAAAATGGTGCACGAGAACTGGCTGTCGAACAGGATGCCCTTGCTTATAATGAGGTTCTTCTGCAGCTCCAGAATGACAGTTGTAACGGGGCTGAACTGTAATCGCTTGCTGAAATCAGCTACAGTGGATATGTTGATAACGACAGCTGTAGAGTAGTCGGAGCAGGGACCATCCAGCCAGGCGTCAGCTGAAGGAAAATAGGGGTTGAAACAAAACCAATTTTCGTTGGTTGAATGCAATGTTGAAAGGCCGTAAACACGAATGACAGTGAAGGGAGAATGTGACAGAAAAATGTGAGTTGAAGGGTCAGTGGGAGCTAGAGTCGGGAGTGGGAAACGCGGAAACAATCTCGATGAGTGAGTCAAGGCACCCGAATATTCCCCAGACAAGGGGGGAAAAGCTGACGAGCGGAAGGGCGGAAGGCGCAAGGCGCGAGGCAAAACGCGGAAGGGGAAAGTGGCTTTCTTCACAGAGGATTCAGCAGCACTCACCCATTCGCCTGCGCCCCATCTGAATATCCTCGCGCGCCACGTGTGCCAGCCGTTTCCTTGAAGCGCTCACTCCGGCAGCGACGGGACGGCTCAAGGCAGCTCCCTCCGCTTGCGACTCCCCGTGCGACTCCCCTTGCGACTCCGCCTGCTTCTGCGACTCCGCTTGCGACTCCCAGGTCTCATTGCCCGCCGCGAACGGAGAAGCAGACGATAGCGATGGGATTGCCGCGTCGCTCGAGTCCAGGTCAGCAGCGTCCTGACGTGGACGCGTCAACGACGGCCATTGGTCAAGGAAGCGCCAAAAGAGTCCGCGGTACTTTGTTACGTCTACGGAAGAGGACGGTGGGAGAATGGGGGAAACGGAGCGGAGATGGCGCGGAGACGGCGGGCAGAAGGGGCGGAGAAGGAGAGGAGACGGGGGGGCGAAATGGGCGAAAGGGGGGGGGAGGGTGGTGGGGGGGATGCGGGGAAAAAGGGAGGGACGGGGGGAAGGGACGAAGGAGGAGATGGAGAAGGTGAGGGGGAAGGCATAGGTGGGGGGAGGGGAAACGCGACGAGAGCTGATCGGAGGAATGGGAGGAAGTAGCAGGGTTGAATAGGGCCTGAACTATCACTTGATCGACGAATCGCGAAAGCCCATAGAGGAGGGTGTGAGTGGGAGGAGCGGGTGGGAGAGCGCGAGGAAAAGCGAGAATGCTTCATATGAGCGGGTGTATGAGGGAGCACGCTTTGGTGTATGGAACTGCTAAAGAAGAGTAGAAAAACAAATTAAAAGCATACTGCGGAGGCACATACCTGAGGGTGCGAAGGCGAGGGCGGGAGAGAGCGCGAGAGCGACGGAGAGGCAGACGAGTAGCGAGAGAGGAAAGCCACGCGGCTGCGCACGGCGTGTCATCATAGCGAGCGATATAAATACGGCGATTCCAACGGCCCAGTAAACTGTGAATATGTTCCCTAAACCAGTGCAAACGTTGGGCTAATGCGGCGAGCAACGAATGCCGTAAAGGCCGGAGAAACACAGCCTACGCGGCGGGGTTCCACCTTCGGTGTCTCTTTGGTTCGTCTGCGATAGAGGGACTTCCTGCGCTGCTTGATGCTCTGGGGACGGAATGGCTGATTGCGGCGACCAGTAGGTACTTCAGAAAGTTATGAGCTTTCTTGAACAGGAAACCTAGACTTTCGAGGACGGGGCCGCTGAGAAGACGCGCTAGCGAGATCAGTAAAGCACTTCTGACTGCACCTTAGGGCTCCACCGCCAGGATTGCCGCCGTGAGTGCAGGAAGAATCATCCTAAAATGCTGCAATGGTCATGAAATGGAGAAACTAGAGGGGGTTGGGAGGAAGTCAACCACTTCGGGCAGGATGAGTTTGATAAGCTATACATGATTGGCTGTTTGGTGATGTGGGTGTTGTGGCGAGGAGGGAGGAATGAGCGGGCAGGGAACATGCACACCTGCGAACCTGGGTGCGTGATGTGACTGGCAGGAGGAGAATGCGGTCAGGTTAGATAAGTTGGTTTCAGCGAAGTCAAGGGCGCCGAAATTTGCGCTTGATTGCAGTGGGGCAGGTCCTGAAACCCTGATCCCGAGAAAAACAGCTGAAGAGGAAGATGGTTGTTGCTGGCGCCGTCGGAGTCTCTTCAAGACAATCACTGTGCACTCGCGAAGTATTTTCCAAACACATCGCATGATGCCACGGAGACTCCGTGGCGAAACTCGGTTAACGAAACATACTGGGCAGAGTTACTGGGATTGACGAATGCGAACTGGTTTACACACCATCATCGTCGATGGGAGGTTTTTGCGGGGAAGGGAGGAGCAGATCAGGTGAACCTTCAGGAGAATACACAACCCGCAGGTGCGCGCCTATCGCGGTCTGTTGGAGGGGAACAAAATTCAGCTTCCTCGATGGGGAATGATTGAGTGCGTGGTTTCCGCGTCAGAAGATGCGCCAAGATGTCTTTGAAACCTACTGGGGTTCACTCAAAAAGTGAATGCGTGTGAGAATTTACAGTTGAAAACAAGACTCGACGTCGGAAGGGTTGCGTAGATGTTACATTCTTAGTTGACAAAAAAAAATTGCAGTTTTTTAAAAGCGTCAAATTTAGGCCTACCGTTCAAGGAATATTGCAAGCGTTTTTTTATGGTTCAATCTATTCTTTTCAACGTGGATGTTTATGATTCTTAACAATTGATGTTTATACGTTATTATGTTTTTTGTTTTATATAGTGAACAATAATGTTCTCTTTACTTTGTAATGTAACATTGCACTATTTTGTGTGGTTCATAGTTGTAATGAATATGAATTCATTACTGTAGAGGCTGCTCCTAGAGAGGACAACCCCGAGCACTTCGCGTCAGTTTCGAGGTTCGGCCTTCGGCCCGAACCACCCCCGAGTCGCCCCGCACCAATCGCGACACTCCCAAACCATCCACGTCCCGAGGTCCTCGCCTACCACGGTCCCGCATGCCTCTTTATCATTCTCGGCATTCTGTAATTCATCCTTTTTATAAAGTCTTCCGCGCACTCTTCTTAGTACAACTCATAACAATAGTGAGTTGTTTTCAGCCCACTCAGTGTCACGTGATTGTGCGTGTGTTTTCACGTGACAAACCCACCCACCTCTTGCTTCTCCCAACCACCCACCTCGTCATAGCCTCAACCTCCACCCCGCCATCCTTTCTTTCCCACCGCATCGTCCTCTCTCCCTTCCACCCGCCGTCGCCTCCCACCCGCCGTCGCCTCTCCTTCCTACTCGCCGTCGCCTCTCCCTCCTCCTCGCCGTCGCCTCTCCCTCCTCCTCGCCGTCGCCTCTCCCTCCTCCCCTCCGTCGCCTCTCCCTCCTCCCCGCCGTCGCCTTTCCCTCCTCCCCGCCGTCGCGTATCCCTCCTCCCCGCCGTCGCGTATCCCTCCTCCCCGCCGTCGCCTCTCCCTCCTCCCCGCCGTCGCGTATCCCTCCTCCCCGCCGTCGCCTCTCCCTCCTCCCCGCCGTCGCGTATCCCTCCTCCCCGCCGTCGCCTCTCCCTCCTCCCCGCCGCCGCCTCTCCCTCCTCCCCGCCGCCGCCTCTCCCTCCTCCCCGCCGTCGCCTCTCCCTCCTCCCCGCCGCCGCCTCTCCCTCCTCCCCGCCGTCGCCTCTCAAACCTCCTCGCCGTCGCCTCTCCTTCCCTCCCCGCCGTCGCCTCTCCTTCCCTCCCCGCCGTCGCCTCTCCTTCCCTCCCCGCCGTCGCCTCCGGCGACAGGTGCACGAGCGCATGCGAGACTTGGTGTGCGAGTGCAGGTTGGTGCGCGAGCGCGGGTTGGTGCGCCAGCGCGGGTTGTTTTCTGAGGCACCGTTATTATCAGGTGCGTTCCCGGTCCTTTCATCCTCCCTTCCCCCACTGAATTCTCCTCCCCCCCTCCCTCCCCTCTTTTTTGTTTTCTTTGCTCTCCTCGTAAAGTTTTTGTGTAGATTGGTCTCCTCTCGCATTGCACTTTCATTTGACGAAGGGGAGAGACGGAGCGCGAGGGAGAGCATGTACACGGGAGCGAACACGCAGGAAAGCGCGCGTGAGAGTGCGCGTGAGAGAGCGCACGAGAGAGCGCACGAGAGAGCGCACGAGAGAGCGCACGAGAGAGCGCACGAGAGAGCGCACGAGAGAGCGCACGAGAGAGCACGTGAGGGAGCGCGTGAGAGAGCGCGTGCGAGTGAGAGTGCTCCTGAGAGTGCGCGTGATGGAGCGCGTGAGAGAGCTCATGCGCGTAAGGGAGCGCGTGCGCGTGAGAGTGCGCGTGCGCGTGAGAGTGCGCGTGCGCGTAAGAGAGCTCGTGAGAGTGCGCGTGAGAGAGCGCGTGAGAGTGCGGATGAGAGTGCGCGTGAGGGAGCGAACGAGAGTGCGAGTGAGAGTGCACGTGAGAGTGCACGTGAGAGTGCAAGTGAGAGTGCGCTTGAGTGAGTGCGTGAGAGAGAGCACGTGAGGGCGCACGTGGGAGAGCGCGTGTGAGAGCGCGTGAGAGAGCGCATGAGAGAGAGCGCGTGAGAGAGAGCGCGTGAGAGAGAGCGCGTGAGAGAGCGAGTGAGACGCGTGAGAGAGTGCATGAGAGTGCGCGTGAGAGAGCGCGTGAGAGAGCGCGTGAGAGAGCGCGTGAGAGAGCGCGTGGGAGAGCACGTGAGGGAGCGCGTGAGAGAGCGCGTGAGAGAGCGCGTGAGAGAGCGCGTAAGGGAGCGCGTGAGAGAGCGCGTGAGAGAGTGCGTGAGAGAGCGCGTGAGAGACGCGTGAGAGAGCGCGCGTAAAAGCGCGCGCGAGAGCGCACGTGAGAGAGGGCGTGAGAGAGGGCGTGAGAGAGCGCGTGAGAGTGCGTGACAGAGCGCGTGAGAGAGAGCGTGAGAGAGTGCGTGAGAGCGCATGAGAGTTCGCGTGAGAGAGCGCGTGAGGGAGCGCGTGAGAGAGAGCATGAGAAAGAGCATGAGAGGGCGCGTGAGAGAGCGCGTGAGAGAACGCGTGACAGAACGCGTGAGAGTGCGTGTGATAGAGCGCGTGAGAGAGCGCATGAGAGAGTGCGTGAGAGACGCGTGAAAGCGTGCGTGAAAGCGTGCGTGAGAGAGCTCGTGAGTGAGCGTGTGAGAGAACGCGTGAGAGAGCGCATTAGAGAATGCGTGAGAGAGCACATGAGAGAGCGCGTGAGAGTGCGCGTGAGCGAGCGCGTGAGAGAGCATGGAGAGAGCGCGTGAGAGAGCGCTTGAGAGACGCGTGAAAGCGTCCGTGAGAGCGCACGTGAGAGAGGGCGTGAGAGAGCACGTGAGAGAGCGCGTGAGAGAAAGTGTGAGAGAGCGCGTGAGGGAGCGCGTGAGAGCGTGTGAGAGCACGTGAGAGAGCCCTGAAAGAGCAGGTGAGAGAGCGCGTGAGCGAGTGTGAGAGAGCGCGTGAGAGAGTGCGTGAGAGTGCGTGAGAGAGTGCGTGAGAGAGTGCGTGAGAGAACGCACGAGAGAGCTTTATGAGCACGCTGGGGCATATGCACTAGCATCTCTTCTGCTGGTGCTTGGGCAGCTGGGACTACTTATGCAAAGGAGTGTCGCTTTCTGCACTAGTGTTTAGTGTGTCGGCTTCTAAGGTGTTTGCTTCTCTGTTTTTGCTGTGTGCGGGCCGTGTGTGTGTTTGCTTCTCTGTTTTGCTGTGTGCAGGCCGTGTGTGTGTTTGCTTCTCAGTTTTTGCTGTGTGCAGGCAGTGTGTGTGTTTGCTTATCTGTTTTTGCTGTGTGCAGGCCGTGTGTGTGTTTGCTTCTCTGTTTTTTGCTGTGTGCAGGCCGTGTGTGTGTGAACTTCTCTGTTTTCGCTTTGTGCAGGGCGCGTGAGCTGAGAAGGGAGATGAGGGAGGGAGTGGGAGGGAGATGAGGGAAGGAGGGACGGAGGGGTGTAGGGAGGGTTAAGGGAGATCAGGGAGGGGGGGAGGGAGGGGAATGGGGGGCAAGGTAGCGATGGTTTATCAATTGGTGAACTTCATTGGTTATGGTTGCATGCTTGGTATTAGCTGTATGTTTCTGCGTGTTTTTCTATCTGCGTATGTGTGTGAGTACCTGTAGGCTATGTAGTTGTGTGGCTCTGTTTCGGGGTGAGTGCTAAGTGCCTCGTGTATACAATTGCGGTTGTGATCGTTGGTGGGGCAGCTTTGGTTGCCTCTTCCATACCAGATCAATCGCAGTTGCATTAACGATGCATTCTAGCATTAGCTTCGAAGCACTCACAACTGGTGTTTCTGGTTTTTGTACAAGTTCGTGTGCTGTCGTTTGGGTCAGTTTTTGTACACGTTCGTGTCCAACCAATTGTTCCATTCGCCGTACTTATCGACGACTATGGAATTACTGGTTACATTTGGTTTCACATTTTTGGGGCAACTAGAAAGTTGAACAGTATTTTTTTCCCAAACGGGCAGGGAAAAATCACTGTTCACGGTCAGTTCCCCAAAAAGTGAAACCAAATGTATAAGGTTGCTACGGAACCCAAAAAGCCCATAGGAAACTATATAACACATGAGAATTTACAAAGACGTTGCACCATGGTACAACCGCCAAAGGTTTACTCTAATGAGTTGTCAATTAGATGATTAGATCCCATAGAGAGCAGCATATAAAAGCCAGCTGGTCTCGGGATGTTATAGTTCCAAAAGTAAGAATTAAGTGATAGCCTGCGAGGACCGGAGTATCTTCTCGGGCAGCTCTTAAACCTTGGTCGGAACTTGTAGAGCAACGAGGCAGTCTTCAATCCGAAATCGTTGCGGCGGAGATTACGGAAACCGGCCTTTTTTGGGTAAGGAATGGGAATCTGCGTGAGGTTGCTCAAAATGTCGATGTTATCGACAGTCAAGCAGTTTTCGTAACCCATAGACTCCGTGTTGTTGCTGACGGTAACCAGGTCGATATTATTCTCCGTGGGCAACCCGCTACAGTTGCCAGTGGTTGTAGCGTTAAGCCCGAAGTCTGGGTTGCATACCATGCCGCCGTTCACATCGGTTTGGGTGCAGATCTGCTGCAGATAGGGGTAGGCCTGTAAGGAGGGAAAGAGGGATTGGGTACCACGAGGGATAGGAGGGTGGAAAGGTGTGGCAGGAGAAAAGAATGAGCTTCCAATATATAGCATGCATGCCTCCATTCACTTCGGTCTGGGTGCAGATCTGCTGCATATAGGGGTAGGCCTGTGGGGTGAAGAGGGAACGAAGGAACATATTCTATAAGAATTGGGGGGTCAGATAAGTTGCAGAGGGTAAAATTAGAGAGCATATGCTGAATTCATTCATACAGCAAAGGGGACCCAGAGGGAGAGGAGGGGAAGGGAGGACTTTTGAGGCGCCTCAAACGAAAGCCAGACTATACCGAGCATACAGTGTATATAACAAGGGAACTGTAGTGATTGAGCGGCATCACCTCCCAATAGGTCCCCAACTCCTCTCAACAGTTAACGGAGGAGACTGCAGAAAACAAACTATAGCAAGACTATAGCGAGCTTACAGTGTATTTAAGGAGAGTATTTAAGGCTCATTGCTTCCCAATAGGGAGGAGGGAACGAAGGGGCCTTACCTGGGTTGATCCAGTGGGTTGAGAACACGATTCCAATCGCTTTCCCAGCGCCAGGCATGGCACCCCAGGGAGCTTGGACAACGTTGTTGGAGACATTGACCAGCATGCAGTCTCCCACAAATCTCGGCCCGGCGCCACACATGATCCCCGCGCCTGTGAACCCGTGCACGTAGTTACTCGCCACCGCCACCCCCACCGCGCCCCGGTGTAGGACGATGCCGATCCGCGCGTTGTACACCTCGTTATTCGTTATAAGCACGTTGGATTTGAGGAGCGACGGGCCGATGCCGGATAGCGCGACGCGGATGTGCGCGGGGGAGGCGACGGAGGGGAGGGATGGGGCTGTGATCTTGAGGGAATCGACCCTCACGTTCATGCTCCGAACAACGTCTACTCGGCCGTACACTGTACCCTGTTGGGTGCGGAAAGGTGGAGGGCAGAAGAGGGGAGAGAAACGGGTTACGCCACAGGTAACAGCAAGAGGAGGGGATGGAGAGGGGGAGGGCTGGCGCGGTGATCTCGATTGAGTCGACCCTCACGTTCATGCTCCGCACTCCGCCATAGACCGTGCCCTGTGTGGGTGACGCAGGGCAGAAGGTGCGGGAGGGGAGATTGGGGGTAACACCAGAGGTCAGTGACAACAAGAAAAGGCGAATTTTACTTTTGAGAATTCTCAAAAGTAGAACTCACATAGTTGGGGGTAACACCAGAGGTCAGTGACAACAAGAGGAGGGGATGGAGAGGGGGAGGGCTGGCGCGGTGATCTTGAGAGAGTCGACCCTCACGTTCATGCTCCAAACCACGTCTACTCCGCCATAGACCGTGCCCTGCAGGAGAGGAAGAGGGAGAGAGCAGGTCACAGGGGAGGCAACGGGAGGAGGAGAGGGAAGGAGCAGGGGTCACAGGGGAGGCAACGGGAGGAGGAGAGGGAAGGAGCAGGGGTCACAGGGGAGGCAACGGGAGGAGGAGAGGGAAGGAGCAGGGGTCACAGGGGAGGCAACGGGAGGAGGAGAGGGAAGGAGCAGGGGTCATAGGGGAGGCAACGGGAGGAGGAGAGGGAAGGAGCAGGGGTCACAGGGGAGGCAACGGGAGGAGGAGAGGGAAGGAGCAGGGGTCACAGGGGAGGCAACGGATGGAGGCTGCCGTCAGAGCAGAAGCAGACTGATGGCGGAAAGATGGTAGCAAGGGAGGTGAGGGAAGAGGAGGCGAGGTCGATTCTCACCGCTCCCACTTGCACGCCGTACGATCGGTGAATGGCGATCGCCGGACATACTGACGTCTTGTCCGCCCCTTGAAACCCCACACACGCCGCCGACCCCGGTGCCACCCCCACCTTCCAATTCACATTCACCGACACGATGTTACTCGCATTCTCCACCTTAAAAGCCGGCATGTCACTCCCGGGATACTCTATGGTATACCCAGGCCACATCCCGACCGTAGACATGAGCAGCGAGCACGAAAACCCCACGCCGAAAACCAATCCCGAGGAGAGAACTAGGTTGTTTTGAAGGTACATGACGACGGTTACGTTGGGAGGGATTTGTAACCGGAGGTTGAAATCGGCGGGAGTGGTGATGTTTAGGACGTAGACTGCTCTAAGGCTCGTGCAGCCGCCTTTCGGCCGTTTGACAGCGGGCTGGCGAGAAGGGGAGGGATTCTGGGAGGAGGAGGGGGGTGGTGAGGTGTCGCCGGCACTGTTGCTGTTTTGGACTGAAGTGACGGGCCACGTGAGAATGCCGGCCATGGGGTTGGTTGTGGGCGGCAGGATGGTGAATGGGAACGGGACGGGGCCTTTGAGCTTGGCCGGCAAGCGTTGTTTCGTAGCGCCTCTGCTGCCTTGACCGCTGCTTTGTTTGCTGCTGCTGCTGCTGCGTTGTGGTTGCATGGGTGTGTTAGGATGGCGCTTGAACCCTCCCCCTGCTGCTGCTGCTGCTCCCTCAACCCTCCCTGCTGCTGCCCCCTCTACCCTCCATCCCTCTGCTCCCTTCATCTTCTCTACCCTTTCCCTCTTCACACTCCCTCCCTTTGCTTCCTTCACACTCCCTTCCTCTGCTCCCCCTACACCTCCCTCCGCTGCCCCCTCCTTGTTCCACTGTTCCTTGCCCCCTTTCCCCCCTCTCTTCTCGTCCAATGGGCTGCTTCCACGTGGAATGAGCGCAAACGAGACGTCCTTAGCAGCAAGAGCCATATAATCACGACCCCGTTCAGTCACATCCCCGTTATTGTCACTCTCCTCTTTAACCACATCCTCCTTATTGTCACTTCCGCTCCTCTCCGTAGTGTCAGCTCCATCAACAGCAGCAGCATCAAGCACTCCACCATAACCATCCTCGTTATAAGCATCACCAGCACCAGCAGAGTCAACAGTGCCAGAAACATCCAAAGGCCAAGTGAAAGGCCCCAAGCCAGAGCTCCCCTTTGTTGACTCTGTTGACTCGGTTGACCGTGGTTGAGCGGTCAACCCCGGGTGCCCAATAGCCCCTGCCACATCTCTTGCAGCCATTGCTACTAGCTCTTCATCCGTTGACTCGGTTGACTTGATTGACTCAGTTGACTCGGTTGACTTGGTTGAGTCAGTTGACTCGGTTGACTTGGTTGAGTCAGTTGACTCGGTTGACTTGGTTGAGTCAGTTGACCGGGGTTGAGGGGTCAACCCCAGGTGCCCAATAGCCCCTGCCGCATCCCTTGCAGCCATTGCTGTCAATTCTGCATCTGTAAACTTCGGGCCAAACATGGGTGTGAATAGTCCGGAACCCTTTTCACTCCCTTCACTCCTTTCACTCCTTTCACTCTCTTCACTCGTATCGCTTTTCTCTAATCCGTACTCTTTGCTCCACCCCATGCCGTCCGCATTAGCAGCAGCACTCCCCGCATCAGATTCACCAGGAGCAGCATCAAGCGCAGAGTCACCAGAACCATCGTCATTTCTACCGTACCTGCTGGCCTGGTTACCTCCTCCTCTGTCGTCCAGAGGCCACACCAGGTTCGGACCCGTACCTAGGCTAGGCTCGGTGCGAGCTTCGGCAATGTCGCGTTCTGCCATAGCTACCATTCTAGCACCTTCGCTTCTATCACCGCTGATGATATCACTCCCGTTACTATCACCGCTGCTGCTGCTGCTGCTGCTGCTGCTGCTGCTGTCACTCCTATAGTCGAAACCTGAAGCTGCTTCAAACGCGGATGCTACTGTAGCCATGGGGTTATCCTCCCTGTTTTCATCGCTTAAGCCTTGACCGCTGACTCCATAATCATAATTATCATCATAATCAGCAGCAGCAGTATCATCAGCACCACCAGAAGCGGCTTCAAACGCGGATGCTACTGTAGCCATAGGGTCTTCCTCCCTGCCTTCATCGCTTAAGCCTTGACTGCTGACTCCATAATCCGCAACATAGTAAGAAACATCAGCACCAGCAGAAGCTGCTTCAAACGCGGATGCTACTGTAGCCATGGGATTATCCTTCCTGCCTTCATCACTAAAAGCGTGGCTGCTTACACCGTTTTCCTCATCATCAGCATCCGAATCATCACCATCACCATCACCCCCATTGGTCGCAGAACCATCCTGCACCATGCCGCTGTGACCCCACTCCCTCGTGAACCAGTCCCTGTCTTCTCTACTGTCATCCCCACCGTTACTAGCACTATCATCCACAGCAGCAGCAACTGCAACACTGCCATCACCATCACTATCACTACCAGCACCATTATTATCAGCATCGGTCACTGCACCATCTAGCACCATACCGCTGTGCCCCCACTCTCGCATAAACCAGTCCCTGTCTCCCCATTCGTTTCTGCTGCTGCCACTACCACCACCCCTGCCACGACTAGTGGTGCTACCACCACCGTTACTAGCACTATCATCCACAGCAGCAGCAACAACAACACGCCCATCGGCACTATCACCACCATCACCATCCCTATCGATCTCAGCGGCATCTTGCACCATACCGCTGCGCCCCCAGTCTCTCATGAACCAGTCCCTGTCGTCCCCCCCGCTGCTGCTGCTACCACCACCACCCCTGCTACGACTGATGGTGCTATCACCACCGTTACTAGCACTATCATCCACAGCAGTAGCAACAGCAACCCGCCCTTCACCATCATCACCATCATCACCATCACTCCCATCGTTCGCAGCACCATCTTGCACCATACCGCTGCGCCCCCACTCCCTCATAAACCAGTCCCTGTCTTGCCTATCCCCGCTGTCACCGCCGTCGGTATTAGCACCACCGCTAGTAGCACTACCGCCAGTAGCACCAGCACCCACAGCAGCAGCAGTGGCAACAGCATCGCTATTACCGTCACCACCTCGACTCAGGTCGCTGGGTTGGCGCGAGTTAACACCCTTGCGCGAGTCACTGGGTTGGTCACTCGCGCCTGTGCCGCCATGCCACCGCACCAACAGCCCGCCTGCAAGATCCCCCTTGAACAGCCGCTGCTCCCCCCTCCGCCTCCCGCCTCCCGTTCCCCCTCCCTCTCCTTCTCCACCGCCTCCCCCGCCCCCTCCCCCTTTTGCTACCCCATTCCCTCCCCCTCTCCTTTCCCCTCCCCCTCCCCCGCCCCTTCCCCCCCCCTCCCCCTCCCCCTCCCCCGCCCCTCCCCCTCCCCCTCCCCCTCCCCCTCCCCCTCCCCCTCCCCCTCCCCCTTCGCCCCCACTGACCCCACTGTCCCCGTGCCGTTCACCCAACCCCTCCAGGGACTCCAGATTAAACTCTCCCGCGACTTCCGCCTTTCTTCTCTCGCCCGCCGCTCCCCCCTCCCCCTCCCCTTCCCCTTTCCCTTCCCCTTCCCCCTCCCCCTTCCCTTCCCCTTTTCCCTTCTCTTGCGAAATAAGCTCCGCATCATCGTCCTGATTCCATGGCGGCACGGTCTCGTAGTCTAAGCGCGTCTCGAGATTCCATACGTCTTTATTCTGCGAGCTGTCTTTAATCCGTGCGTCTGCGACTGTGTCGGCTTTCTTACGGCTTCCTGACTCTACCAATCCCGTCTCTTGCCACGTGTCAGGTTGTTCGGGGCCCGCTTGCCACGTGTCAGATAACCAGCGTCCGTGCGGGCGGGGGGTAGGGAAGAAGCTGTTACGATTGCCACGTGTCAGGTGGCTACCAATAGCAGCGCCGGACGGGGACGCGAGCCGGCAGCAGCACAGGCAGGAAAACGCGACAACCAGTAACGAGGTCGCGCGTCGAAGACGCAACGGCCGCATGATCTCTGGAAAAAACACAAAACTGGAGAACGATCGGACCGAAATCTGTACCGAGACAGCTGATATCGAGGAAACAGCACTCAAAATGGCAAGGAAAATAGTGGTCTACGTGGTCTACTCAAAGCCCCTAATTTATCGGTTTCGACGTTCATTGCCGATATGGTAACATCTCAATCTGCGATAAAAGCGACCCTCGCTAAGTTACTGTTGCTCAACTATCACGAAATAAAAAACCGAAAACCGGCGCATCGTTTTCTTGGGACCCATACAAGCTCCCGACCTAGTAACCGTGAAAACAAGAAATACCCCTGTCAGTATAGCTTAGGAAGGAACAACATTCCATCGAGCGAAGCAGCAGAGCTAGTCATAAAATATACGAACATGCGCCTTAGGTACGTACAGCACTCCAAAAGCTAACACGAGTTGAAGGGATCGGCACAACCGGCGTTACACCCACTATCAGTCAAGGCGCAGTTGAGTGGCAGTTAGAAGGGACTACTAGACTGGCAGCACAGCAGAGTGAGTAATGGCGCGTAGCAGGTAGGACCGATTAGGGTGACGGAGAATCTCTCGCCAATCCTTCTTGACCCCATCGCAGGTGTTTTCGCTAAGGGAGATCATTTGACGGAACGACTTTTAGACCACGGTTCTTCACGGTGCTAATATATTTTCAGAGTGAAATAAACTATCTAAGACGGTTCAAAGTGGTAAGAGCTAAGAGCGGCCCTTCATAAAAAGCCGCTTGCGTGTTGTAGGAGCAATCGTCGAAGGTCCAACGACCACGCCGAGTCGCGAAGGTCTGGCACGCTTCGGCGGCTCACCGAACGCAGGTCGCAGCTCCCTCGTTGGCTGGGGAGGGCGCTGCCCTTACGGGGCGTGCAGCAGTGGAGGTGCCGAAGCTGATTACTTGGTTTGGCTCGGTTCGGTGGGTTCTATGCTGCGTGAGCGGCGCTACATCAATGACCACGTCCAAACAATTCTCCCCTTCTGGGAGATTCGATAACAGAGTTACCCAAATAGCAGCGCAGGCAGGTGAGATAGTAAATGAAATTGGAAATTTGCTGGTTGCGTTTATGAAGAAGACAATTCACGCTAGAGTTCATGATCTTGGAATGTATGTTGGAAGCAAAACCCCATGCTGGGAGCATTGAAATACAAGGGTTTATGAAACATTTATTCATGTGACCATTACGCAAACTGGAACGCACATGATGGTTCTATTGTCACCCTCCCATGCCACCACATCCAGTTATTAAATGCTATGAAGCACTGAACACGCATCTAGCTTCCTACAAGGAATGGCTGACCCAACCATGAATACTCCCCATCACCAGCCGCCATCATCTGGGCTCTAACCGTCGGAGTAATCAAATCCTGGTCTATAATATGTTTTGCGTCCATCCTAACAACCTTCCGGAATCCCCACGGCATCGGAATATTGTAACCCCTGTAAAAAGACTTCTCCGAAAACTTTCTTGGCCCGGCGCGTCCTAGCGGACAGCTCAAATAATTCGGCCGAAACTTCAAAATCATCGACGTATTTTTAAGCCCCAAATCGTTCCGCCGGTAATTCCGGAATCCCGCAGCGTAAGGGCGATTCAGCGTGACGTTAACCTGAGTATTTAACTTCTCCGTAACAGTGTAGTTATCGCAATATTTCCAGTCGAGGCCGTAATCGGTGGTGTTGACTGCGATAAGGTCGATGAGATTGTCGGTTCCCAGCCCGCTGCATGCACCAGTGACGTCAGCACCCGGCTGACCTGGCGGGTTGCATGACACGCCGCCATTGGCCGATGTCTCTTTGCACACGTCCTTCATCCAAGGCCAGAGCTGGATGTGACAATAATGAGGGGGAAGAGAAAGAGGGTAAGGGGATGGGAGAGAGATGGAAGTGAGGGATGGGAGAGATATGGAAGTGAGGGATGGGAGAGAGGAGAGGAGGAAGGAGGGAAGGGAAGGGACTCATCAGCTTGCATTGCACACACATGATCCTGAGGAGAGAAAAAGGGGTGAGCAACAATGGTGACTTGGTAAGTGTGACTTGGTGACTTGGTAGGTGAATTTACACTTGCTTGCAGTGTTACGTTCACTCACCCCTTGTGATTCTACCTGTGTTAGTTGTGGTGTTTCCCTGACTCCCTTCCAGTGGTAGCCTGCTGCACGCATTTGCCTCTACCATTGCTGTACCACAGCCGAACCTCTGCTGCTCTGCTCTCACTCACTTGGTTGATGCGATCACCGTTGTAATATTTCACGCGCATCGCCTATATGCTGTATGCACCCCTGTTCTACCTCTGCTGTATTGCTCTCACTCACCCGGTTGATCCTATCGCTGTTATAGTATTTCACGCGCATCGCCTCCCAATAATCCCCGGGGTCCTTCAAGCAGTTGTTGACGGTCACTGTGAGGCACGACGTCCATCCCAGCGACCCCTGCGTGCCCTTCATCGCGATGTGCCTTATCACGTTCCTGCATAGGAAGGCAGTACGGTGCAGAGCGGTGGGAAGAGGGGGAGCCAAGGGTGTCATTCAAGCAGCGATCGATAGTCACTGTGAGGCAAGAAGTCCATCCCAGCGACCCCTGCGTGCCTTTCATCGCGATGTGCCTTATCACGTTCCTGCATTTGACACAGAGGAGAGGAGGGCAGCACCGGAGGAGGGGAGGGCAGTACGGTGGAGGGGGGTCGTTCAATCAGTAATTTGAGCGTCACTGTGAGGCACGACGTCCATCCCAGCGGCCCCTACGTGCCCTTCATTGCGATGTGCCTTATCACGTTCCTACCATGCACACGAGGGAGGAAGGGATGCAGTGCAGTACAGGGCAGTACAGGGCAGTACAGGGCAGTATGGCAAGTGGGGGAAGAATGAGAGTAGTTGGGCAGAGGGGGCTGATGAGGCAAGGGAAGAGAAGAATGGGGTGTATGTACCTCCCTTGTTTGGGGGCTTATGTACGAGGTTGATTTTAAGAATTCTCAAAATCAACCTCAAACAGTACGGCAGTGCTTGAGCCCAACACTGCAGAGCACGGAGTTCCCAAGGTTGACCTTTGAGTCGACTCAAAAGTCAACATGCTGCGGCAAATAGGTAACAAATGGGGGGTTTTCAAGGCAATGCTTGAATGAACCCATGACTGCACAGCACGGAGTTCCCAAGGCTGCTTCTCACCTCTTGCCGTTATTCACTTTCATGCCATCGTATGTGTTCACGCACGCTCCGCCCCGCACAAGCACGCCCGACGTGCAGTAATCCAGATAGTAGCAGTGGTCGCCATTGAAAATATAGTTGCAGAGCGCGGAGTTCCCAGGGTTGAACCAGTGCGTGCAGTAGTAGATCCCTGCCGAGTCATAGTCCCCGTTCAGATTCCTCCCAGAGGAGATCACGAGGTTGGAGTTGATGCGAGTGAGCATGCAGTCGCCGCTGTAATGCACGTCCGCGCCGCAGCGAATGCCGGCGAAAATGTAATCATGGATGTAGTTGTTGGTTACGGTAATGCCGACTGCTCCCCTGTGCAAGACGATCGGAGTGTTCACGCCTGCAGGCGAGGGAAAGAGTGAAAACGGGGGGAAAAAGGGGGGCGAAGGGTTGAACCAGGGCGTTCAGGTTCCTCCCAGAGGAAATCACGAGGTTGGAGTTGATGCGCGTCAGCATGCAGTCACCGCTGTAATGCACGTCCGCGCCGCAGCGAATGTCCGCAAATATATAATCGTGGATGTAGTTGTTGGTAACGGTAACACCGACTGCTCCCCTGTGCAGCACAATGGGGGTGTTCACACCTGAAGGGACATGGAAGGTGGGGGCAGGAGGTCAGGGAGAAAAGAGTGGATTGAGCATAAGAGGAGGGGAAGGATGAGGTTGGAGTTGATGCGGGTTAGCGTGAGCATGCAGTCGCCGCTGTAATGCACGTCCGCGCCGCACCGAATGCCAGCGAAAATGTTGTCATGAATGTAATTGTTGGTCACTGTGATGCCCACCGCTCCCCTGTGCAGGACAATGGGAGTGTTGACGCCTGCAGGGGCGAACGGGGGGAGTGGGAATAAGAGCAGCAGGGGAGAGGGGAGAGGAGAGGGGAATCACGAGGCTGGATTTGACACGAGGGAGCATGCTGTCACTGCTGTAATGCAGGTCGGCGCCTTTTGAGGCACCTAGAAAATGCTTGCATTGAGGTGTATTTTGAGGCGCCCCAAAATACACCTCAATGCACGCAGAGGGGATCACGAAGCTGGATTTGACACGAGTGAGCATGCTGTCACCGCCGTAATGCAGGTCGGCGCCGCACCAGATGCCCGCGAAAAGTGTCGCGAGGGATATACTCTTGATGACTCGCGTTGACTTTCCTTGACTCGAGGAGACGTCCCACTCACCATACACCTCATTGCTGGAAATCACGATGTTGGTCGACTCCTGTTGACCACAGGTGGTAATAGCACCACTCACCATACACCTCATTGCTGGAAATCACGATGTTGGTTGACTCCTGTTGACCACAGGTGGTAATAGCACCGCTCACCATACACCTCATTGTTGGAAATCACGATGTTGGCTTGTAGCAGCGAAGGCCCGTACCCACAAATGGCCACTCCGATCACCCCAGGCGACTCCTCCTGTGACCTTGATCCCCATTGACTCTCGTTGACTCTCGTTGACTCACCATACACCTCGTTGTTGGAGATGACGATGTTGGCTTGCAGCAGGCCAGGCCCGTACCCACACATGGCCACTCGGATCACTCCAGGCGACTTGTCAAAGGAAGAAACTCCCGTGACTGTGAGTGAGTCCAGGCGCACACCCATGCTCCGAAACACGTCCACTCGCCCGAAAATATTGCCCTGCGATCCGCACACAGTCGAGGTGAGGGAAGGCAGGCACGTATGAAGCAAGGGGAAGACCGTTAACCAGACCAGCCGCGCACATGGCCACTCGAATCACCCCCGGGGACTTGTCAAAGGAAGCCAGTCCGGTGACTGTGAGTGAGTCCAGGCGCACACCCATGCTCCGAAACACGTCCACTCGCCCAAAGATGTTTCCCTGTGGGAGAGAATGAAGGGAAGCACGTGCGACAGAACGTCAGGGGAGTGTGGGTGAGAGGAAGCCACTCCAGTGACCGTGAGAGAATCTAGCCGTACACCCATGCTCCTAAACACGTCCACTCGCCCAAAGATGGTACCCTGGGGCCTGGGTGAGAGTGGTGAATGGAGTAGAGAGGAGAGTAAAGGCATGAGGGAGCTTGATGTCATGTGGAATGAGACAGACGAAGAAGCCACTCCAGTGACCGTGAGGGAATCGTGCCGTACACCCATGCTCCTAAACACGTCCACTCGCCCAAAGATGGTACCCTGGGGTCTGGGTGAGAGTGGTGAATGGAGTAGAGAGGAGAGTAAAGGCATGAGGGAGCTTGATGTCATGTGGAATGAGACAGAAGAAGAAGCCACTCCAGTGACCGTGAGAGAATCGAGCTGTACACCCATGCTCCTAAACACGTCCACTCGCCCAAAGATGTTTCCCTGTGGGAGAGTGAGAAGAGGGAAGAAGGGAGTGTGTGAGAGTGGAGGAATGTGGGATGAGACACAGAGAGAAAGGCACTCCAGTGACTCATGTCACATGAGTGAGTGAGCCCAGCCGCATGTCACTCCTTTCCCTAGAGCTCAGGCACAGTGGTGCATTCGGGACTGCTCTCCTTGACCGGCATGTAGTAACTCACGTTCATCGACCCGAGTGTGAATCATGTCCAGACACAAGGCTGAGTATCACCTTGCCAATCTGAACGCCATAGGAGCGACGAATCGAGATCGTGGAGCACGTCACTCCCTTCCCCAGCTCCGGCATAGTGGTGCATTCGGGAGTGCTCTCCGTCACCGGCAGGTAGTGATTCACATTCGTAGGCACAGGCGTAAATACTACCAGGGATACGAGGGAAGTAAAAGGCTCACCTTGCCAATCTGAACGCCGTAGGAGCGGTGAATCGAGATCGTGGAGCACGTCACTCCCTTCCCCAGCTCCGGCATAGTGGTGCATTCGGGAGTGCTCTCCGTCACCGGCAGGTAGTGATTCACATTCGTAGGCACAGGCGTAAATACTACCAGGGATACGAGGGAAGTGAAAGGCTCACCTTGCCAATCTGAACGCCGTAGGAGCGGTGAATCGAGATCGTGGGGCACGTCACTCCCTTCCCCAGCTCCGGCACAGTGGTGCATTCGGGAGTGCTCTCCGTCACCGGCAGGTAGTAATTCACATTCATCGACATTCACCTTACCCTACACGAGCGTGAGTAATGACCAGACCAAACACAAAGGTGAAAGGCTCACCTTTCCGATTTGCACGCCGTAGGAACGATGGATGGAGATTGTCGGGCAGGTCACTCCCTTCCCCAGCTCAGGCACAGTGGTGCACTCAGGACTGCTCTCCTTCACCGGCAGGTAATAATTCACGTTCATAGACACGAAGTTGTTTGTGTTCCACACGCGCAGCACCGGGTACATAGGGTTACCACCCGTGAGCGTGTAACCGGGCCATTTCGACGACATCAGGATCGTGCACGACTGCTGCCGACGGAAAAACAACCCTCTAGGCAGCGTCAGATCGTTCCGTAAATACAGAATAACAGTGGTGGTGGGCGGGAGGGAGGCACGGGCGGCGAAATCAGCAGCAGAGGTCACGTTGATTATGTAGACTTTCTTGAGCGATGAGCAGGAGCCTTGTGGGCGGGACTTGGACGGCTGGTATCCTGCGGCTGTAGCGGCTCGTTGCAGGGAGACTGACCCGATGATCACTGTTCGCCTCCTCCTGGGTTGCCGCCCAGTTGCTCCGGCTGTAGCAGCAGCAGCTGTAGCAGTAGCCGTAGCAGCAGTTGTAGCAGCAGTTGTAGCGGCAGCTGTAGCAGCAGCAGAAGTCCTTTTGAGAGGGAAGTCGAGGAGGAAGGGTTCGCCTGACGCAGCAGCGGCTGCTACAGCGGTGAAGAGCGGTGGGGGCTGACTGTCCCGCTCTTGCTGCTGCTGCCGCACCGACTCAACCCGACGCAGCATGTCGCCCTCGTCGTGACTGTATTCGTTGTCGGGACTGTACTGAATGTGACTGTATTGAGACGGGTCCCGGCTCAAAGAGTGTGTCAGAGCTTGGCTGTGCTGGCTGGTAGTGTGATGATAATGATGATGGTGACCCACGCCTGCTGCGTGATGACCCACTGATGATGGGTGATGCCCTGTGACTGTAACGGGGAGAAGGACAATGAGGGGGGGAGGAAAATGAGGGGGGAAGGAGAATGATGGGGGAAGGGGGGCGGGAGTGTGGGGAGAGGGGGGAGTTGTCAGAAAACCGGTTGGGTGGCAGGTCAAGCTGTTGTCAACAGAGGCCGCACTAATTTATTTCCGGATTACAATAATTATCATTGCTAATCTTTGAGGTTTTTATTAATATATCAACTGACTTTTTTTTTAGTTTGTTCTGGGTTTATAACGCGTTCCTCGTCATGAATTGAGCTGCGTGCCTCGTCATGCTTTGACGCGTACGTGACCATGCTTATACCGCGTACCTCGTCATGCCTTGAAACACGTTCCTTGCCATGGCTTCAAACGCGTACCTGACCATGCCGTCACAGCGGTGCAGGAAGTTAGGCCGGATATGACGGCGAAGATCCCGCAGATGGTCAAGGTATTAGAGATCGTCATTCTCTTGCCGACCGCAGCGCGACCGAGTTTTCGACTTCCAGGCATCCGCGAAGATCCCGCAAATTGATTCCCGAGACGAATAGTGAACAATCCCACTAATATTCGTGTGGCGCTGCCACCATCGAGAATCCACGACAGACTCGATGCTACAAAACTTGTTTTCAGATGTGTTGCAACGAAGAATGGCTGGATGTCAGCAGCCTTCAGATGAAGAAACCCTAAATGGCTTGACTTGGCGGAAAGTTCGCGTGACGCGACTGACGCATTGTACGGATTTATAATACTACTGCTGTCAATTATCCAAAGTGTTGCCTGGCTGAAGTTCACATCGAAGTTATGTTTGGCATGGGAACGGGTGAACTCATAACAACGCCATCGTCGTTGCGTAGTCTGCTGCTGTTACAAGTAGTTGGTCACTGCCAGCGGAAATTACTGCTGCGTCGTGCCACGCTCGAAACGTGGCCGAGAAACACTCGAAAAATGCCTGTCGCTTTTGGTGGGGGTGACGGCGGGCACTTTCGTTTGGCGGTGTGGACGACATTTTCGTAACTGGTTCTTCGCGAGAATGAGCAAGGGAGGGAGCATTTGCGGCATGTCTCGCGAACATTTCTCGCGAACATTTTTTCGAAGTAGGAAGGCATCACTGAGGAAGCTGGCGTTGAAGGGGAGGCGACGGGAAGGTAGAAACAAGGGAGCCGCGATTTGAATCACACGGTCTGTCGCGTCGCAGTTACCAGGTGATCCACGCCGTCGGATCTGCGATGTGCGGCTTGGCTTGGTTCAGGGACGGGTGTACGTCAGCCGCGCGCAGTCGGTGAGCAGCGGCAGGAGTCGCACATGCGGAATTTTATCTGACCGAGTGCAGAAGCCGAACCCCGTTGACTCTACGAACTTCACCGACGTGGCATTGCCAACGCACTTTTCTGCGAAAACCGACGGAAATGAAAATGGCCTGGATTCTGGCCGGAGTGCACGAAGCGACGATGTCTCTCGTCCAGAAACCGACATCTGCGAGAGAAAGAAGATTTAAGTACTGCATAAGGGCGTGTCCAGAGAGTACGTCCGAATGCGGTTGAACAGGGTTTGACGCTGATCCAGAAAGTTCTATTTGACGAAAAAAGTGGTTGGGTAGGGTTTTCAGCAAATACGTACATTCTTGGACCCGCCCTAAGAAGAGAGTCTTGCATCCAATATATTTTTTATTAGCATAGATAGCTCAAATATATATGTAGGCCGTACACTACACATTGTCCAAACAACCAAGTTTTACTACCATTGCATGACCTTCCTATAGACCTACTTCAAATTATCAGGCCACATCACACCAATTGGCTCCTCAGCCAGGAATATTCAGAAGTGCCCAGCATCTGTGCTCGCATTGTCTTTGGGATGAGGTCACGGTCAATAATGTGATTGGTATCCATGGCCACCACCTTCTGAAATCCCGCAGGCATCGGAACATTAAAGTTGACGTAGTACGAGTTGGTCGAAAACTTCCGGGGGCCCGTCGCTCCCTTCGGGCAGCTCAAATAGTTCGGCCGCCTCTTGAAAATCGGAGAACCCTTTTGAAGCCCAAGGTTGTTGTGCTTGTAGCTGAGGAACTTCGCAGCAAAAGGACGCACCGGGATACTATGCTCCTTATTGAGTCGCGGCACAGCGGGGTATTTCTCGCAGTACTTGTAATCCGGAGCCCTCCCAGAAGTGTTCACAGTGATCAGATCAACGAGGTTGTCCGTGCCGTAACCGCTGCACGCCCCTGTTTCACTAGCTGGCGGTTCTCCAGGTGGGTTACACGGCACTCCGTTGAACGCAGACTTCTCCTTGCAGACATTTTGCATCCATGGCCACCTCTGGTACAAGGAAAAGGAGGAAGAAAGTTCAGGCGAAAGCGGTTAGAGGAAAGTTCGGCAGAAAGCAGTTAGGGAAAAGTTTGGGGAAGGCAGTTAGAGAGGAAAAGAGAGGGAGAGATGTCCTCTGGGGAGGATGATGTCGGATAGCGCAAGGGGAGGGATAAACGAGGAATATGTTTATTGGCTATGCTCATTGTTCCGCAGTGGTATTCACTGCAATAACACAATAGAATCTGAGTTTCATCATTCAGCTCACTTGTGGCTCCCAGAAGCTGCCAGGGTCCTTATGGCAGTTGTTGAGCATGACTGTAAAGAATGTGCGTGCTGATCGTGACTGTAAGGAATGTGCTTGTTGAACACCACTGTAATCAGAAGTGCTGATCTTCTTGGCTGAACTCACCCCATTGATTGCAGGTGTGTTGTAGTAGTACTTGGCGCGCATGGCCTCCCAGTAGCTGCCAGGGTCCTTGAGGCAGTTGTTGAGTGTGACTGTAAAGAGTGTGCTTGCTGACCGTGACTGTAAGGTACGTGCTTGCTAGACTGTACCAAATGTGCTGATTTCCCTGGCTGAACTTACCGCATTGATTGCAGGTGTGTTGTAGTATTTCGCGTATGGCCTCCCAGTAGCTACCAGGGTCCTTGAGGCAGTTGTTGGGCGTGACTGTAAACAATGTGCTTGTTAAGCGCGACTGTAAGGAATGTGCTCACTCACTTCCTGTCAGTCTCACTCACCGCATTGATCGCAGGTGTGTTGTAGTATTTCAAGCGCATGGCCTCCCAGTAGCTGCCAGGGTCCTTGAGGCAGTTGTTGAGTGTGACTGTAAAGCACGTGGTCCAACCAGGTGATCCCTGCGTGCCCTTCATTGCCACGTGCTTTATCACGTTCCTAATGAGTGGGGAAGCACGGGGGATGAAAAATACGATAACATGTTTTTGAGTGTGAATGAAACGGTTTTATGGCAAGTGTTGCATGCATAAAGCAGATTCATTTGGTCGATCCATGCAATACAGCTCTCCCATATCGTGCAATGATGGGACGAATGAACGGGCATGAGATTGCGGTCTATCATGTAAGCAAGTGACAAGCACGCAACACTTGTCGAATATAAGGGTAGATCTGAGGACGCAGTAGTGAGTTATGCACGCAGCAGAGAGTTATGCACGCAGCAGAGAGTTATGCACGCAGCAGAGAGTTATGCACGCAGCAGAGAGTTATGCACGCAGCAATGAGTTATGCACGCAGCAGAGAGTTATGCACGCGGTACTATAAGGGTAGATCGTGATAAGCTCCATAATACTACAGCTCATGTGAACATATTTCTCACCTCTTGCCATTATTCACTTTCATGCCGTCGTATGTGTTGATGCAAGCTCCGCCCCTCACAAGCACGCCAGATGTGCAATAATCCAGATAGTAACAATGATCTCCGTTAAACACATAGTTGCAAAACGCTCTGTTACCTGCAATGGGTGCACACAAGGACAGGGGAAAGGGTGAGCGGGAGTGTGCTGTGTGTTTGCACCAGCATGTGGTCAAATTGCCTTGAGGGACAGAAAAGCAGTTGTTTCAAAACTTCAAAAATTATTGTATTTTTCAAGCAACTGCAAATGCTTCGGTGACAGTGCATACCTCCATGTGTCCTTCCCTCACCTTCCCATGTCAACTAAACCAAAACCGCACACCCACCCACCCACCTCTATTTCCCCAGCCCACCCACCCATCTCTTCCCCCACCTCCACCTGCTCTTAACATGAGTGCCACGGTCTACCACAAAACGGCCAACCCTAATGTGGTATATCCAGTATTTGAGCAATATTGAATCTTAAACATCTACAGTTTCCAGTCTTACCAGGGTTGAACCAGTGCGTGCAGTAATAAATCCCCGCCGCGTCGTGATCCCCGTTAGTGTTCCTCCCCGACGCCACCACGCGATTCCAGTTGATCCGCGTCAGCATGCAGTCGCCGCTGTAGTGCACGTCCGCGCCGCACCGAATGCCCGCGAAAATGTAATTGTGCACGAAGTTGTTCGTAACGGTTATGCCGACGGCGCCCCTGTGCAAAACAATCGGGGTGTCAACGCCTGTGCGGAAAGAGGGGGAGGAGAAAACGAGGGGAAAAAAGGTGGGGGGGGAGGGAGTGGGGGTGTGGGGGTGGGGGAGGGGGGATGTGGAGAGGGAGAGGTGATAAGGACAAGAAAAAACACTTGGGCTGGGAAACGAGTTTCTCAAGTCAGATTTTGAAACACATGATTAGCAAGAAAAAACGTCAATCCACTCGCTCGCCGAAGCCCTCGTTTTGAGACGCAAGAAACGAGACTCACCGAAGACCTCGTTGCTCGAGAGGACGATCTGCGCGCGCAGGAGGTCAGGGCCGTAGCCCGACATCGCAACGCGAATGGCGCCCGGCGACTTGTTGAAGGTAGGCACTCCCGTGACCTTGAGCGAGTCAATCCGAACGACCATGCTCCTCAGCACGTCCACTCGCCCGTAGACCGTGCCCTGAGAAACAAAGGGAAGGGGAGGAGATAAGCTTTTTAGAAAGGGAGCGGGATATGGGATGGGTGCGGGAGGATAGGCGAACGGGAGGGACTTGGTATGTGGGGGTGAAACGGTGGCGTGGGGAGCGAGGAAAGCAGTAAGTGCCCACCATGCGAACTGCTCTCCATAACTACCAATGAGGCGTCTCACAATATCACTCACCATGCCGATCTGCACTCCATACGACTTGTACACCGACACAGCAGGACACGTCTCGCCCGAGCCTAGCTCCGGCACGTTGGTGCATTCCGGGCTGCCCTCCGTCACGGGCAGTTTGTAGTTAACGTTCATCGATACGAAATTATTCGCGTTCCACACGCGAATCACCGGGTTCGTCAGGTCCGTACTCGATATAGTAAACCCCGGCCACTTCTCGCTCATCAGAATCGTGCACGAATACGGCGCGTTGAACAGAAGGCCCTTGGTCAGCGCCAGGTCGTTTTTCAGGTAGAGAATAACAGTGGCGGTGGGCGGGAGCATGGTTCGCGTGCTCAGGTGCGAAACCTTCGTAACGTTGATAATGTAGACTTTCTTAAGGCTTGAGCACGGCCCTGGGGGTCCCGACTTCGCTGTCGCGCCCGCAGATGCCGCCGTATTGCCCGCTTCCGGAAGAAATAGACTCTCGATATCTACAGGGCCTATAATCACAGCCTTATCGTTTCCTCCGGTTGCTCCGCCGCCAGTCGCTGCGGCAATCGAGGCTATTCCTCCTGCTAGTCCTCCTTCGGCCGTTGCTGTAGCCTCAGCAGTCGCGACATTTGGCGCTTCCGACGTAGTTGCGAATCGACTCTCCCAAGCAGCTGCGGCAGCGGCGACGGCGTCGAGAAGGGGCGGCGGCTGGTTACCAGACTGATGGAAGAGAAAGTGATTGTGATTGTAACGAGGGTCGTCGGGATGGATGTTCGGGTCGTGATGGTGCCCCATGCCCGCTGCATGATGGCCCATCGAGGCGGGATGATTTCCTGTGAATGTAACGAAGGAACAAGGGGAGTGGAGGAAGCGATGTGACTGCAGAGGTTAAGGCGCTGAAGCGTGATCATGATTCCTTTTGACGGGCGCGGAGGGAGTTATTGTAACGCGGAGATTTTAACCGAATGTCATTGAAGGTGAGTGGAACAAGAAATCACTTCAAACCTAATACGGAAGGGGAAGTAGGTTGAGCGAAATTGACAGCGGATATGGAGGGGGTCGATAGGGGAAGGAAGAATGCGAATGTACGCAGGGGGAGAGAGGGATTAATAGCCGAGCCCATGCTGACACGATGAACAAGAGGCGAAGTCTATCGAACGTGCTGAGTAGTAGACTGACTGACCTGACCATGCCGACGCGACCGAGGCCGCGACGAGCAGGACGCCTATCTGTAGCACAATGCCGCGCATTTTAACACTTCGAGCTTGCTTGCAACCTAAACCAGATGCTCTTAGAACCACTCGCTTATCAATGCTGCTATCATATGCAAGGCGACACCAGCTGACCAGCCGTTCGACAAGGATGGCTACACCAGGAAACGTTGATTGATGGGTGTGCTGTGCAAGCTTGACTAGGAAGACGGAAATTGGAAAGGAAGCGAGCAGAGGGGAAGGGCGAGAAAACGGGAACCTTTTTTCCGTACCCTGTTGGTGCGCTGCCATTTTGACAGCCCGCCAAGAATGTTTTCCTCGGACGTGGGGCAAATTCACCTCCAAGGCATTGCTGGCAGTCGGTGGCGCGGTCTGTTTTGCGGCGCTGCGCTGCGACTGTCAGTGCAAGCCCCGGCCCGGAGGTTCGGTGAAAAATCAAGCACACAACCGAACGTGCTGATTCTCGGGCAGTACATAAGGTGTTTGAATACAAAATGTGCAAAAAAGCAGACCTTGAGGGCTTGACAAGTTTTTGTATCGGCTCGGTCTCGGCTGGAGGATGCTTTCGGAGTTCTACGGCGCGTCTCGGTGCCGCTGGCTGGTTCGGTTCCGGGGTCACGTTGGCTGCACGTGCGTGTGCACTTATCGAGCCACAATCGCGAATGAAAACCCACATTTCTGGTTCTCATAGTTCAACAAAGCTAAAGCCAACATATTTCCTTGTGGTGTACTATCGTTACGGCTATTGACGACGTTCCCAACACACCTAACGACACTGTTACCTTACCAGTTCGTCCAGCCCAGCCACCACCAACCACTCGACACCCGCCACCTCTATACGCGCAACCGCGAAGAGAGGGTTTCGCGAGAGCATTTGTGATGGGAGGGCGCTGCCGTCTACTAGTAGCGACACTGAAAATAGCTTCGAAGGTAGTTATGCCTTGTTCGAACAAAAGCGCTTCAGCTTGCCTAACTGCGAAACGTTGAGACGTCCACGCATTTGGTAGCTCTACGAGTGCAGTTCTTTTTTGTCACATCCGCTAATTTCTCTTGTTATCCGCAGGCTAGTCTCATCACTAGAGCATTGCGAATTGCGATACCAGCACCAGTTATGGTCGAAGTCTTTTGCTGTATGACATATTCGGTATCCAGAGTTCCGTGGGAAATGGGCATTCTTCGCTCGTTTGTCGCCACACCCCTCGCCATGTCGTTAGTACTTGTGCTAATAGTGCAGTTATTATCCGTTAGGGTCGCTACCGGTTACACTCACACTTCTTTCCACCGCCACCATCGCGACGGCGGCCGAGTCGGCTTCAACCGAATAACGGAAGCCCGCGCCGCGGGTGACGTGGAGGACACGTGGGACGTCCTCGCCGGAACGCCGCTGCCACCAGGAATTGGTCGGCTCCACAGAGAAGCGAGAGAGGATGCGGGGGAGGAGGGGGAAGATGAGGTGGAAGAGGAGTGGGAAACGGGGGGGGAAGAGGAAGGGGAAGACGACGGGGGCGTGGAGGGGGAAGAGGAGGGGAAACAAGGGACGGTTATTTCTCACGCCCTGGAGAAAAAGGCTTTTGTGAGGGGGCAGTTGAGTGAGGATAGTGGGAATGGGAGGGAGTGGGGCGGGTACAAACGCGTACACCGACAGGTTGGAAGGTGGCACGCCGGCAAGCCATGGAGCGGAGACTTCATTAAAGTTGGTGGGAGCGAGAACACTATAGACGGTCTTTCTTCGTTACAGTCACACTCATTAAGAGCCGACGTAGCAGCAGCAGCGGAAGTCACAGACGCAGGAGCAGCTGGGATGGAATATGCATCTGCCTCGCTTATGTCAACGTCAGCTCCAACCGTTTCCACGTCAGCACCACCTGCGGCCCAAGGGCCATGTTCTCCAGTGAAGACAGCTGTCAGGATCGCAGTGACGAAGCCAGCGGATATTCAGGCGCGAGTGAAGCACGACCCTACGCAAACGGTCGTGCTGACGCTGCAAAACAGCATGGTACTTGGCAAAGGGATTCTCTTTGATAAGCGTTTCTCCTGCACGATCTTCCAGTCCGCTAAGTTCGGCGCTTACACCGTCTCATATCCAGGCGAGAAACAGCCGGCGATTAGGGTCTACAACACCAGCAACGTGCTTATAATGGGGATAAACTTCGTGATCAAGACCACGAAGTTTTCTCCCTCCTGCCGGCAAGTGCTGCCCGAGGTCGGAAAAGGCGTAATTTGCCCGGCGGTCTGGATATATGGATCGTACGGCGTGCAAATCGCGAAGGGATACGTGTACGGTCGGATCGACATGTACCGATGTATGAAGTCGCGAATCGACAGCATGAAAGTCACGGGCGTGTGGGACTTCGCTAAGAGCAACGGCGTGTTGCGAGTCGGAATTAGCGGCATCGGAACGAAGCTAGTAAGATCTGGGATCGCGGTTTCGAATAATGAAGTTTTTGGAGCGGATACACCGCTAGTGGTGTACAACGGAGCAGTGGGGGTTAGAGTTGTGCAAAATTTCGTGCATGACTATGAATTCGCGGGGATTCGGTGCGGAGCGGATGTGCGGAATCAAGGCGACTGCATGCTGGGGTTTATCGGGTACAACTACGTGTATAGCAGACTGAGGAATATGACTGGAGCCGCGGATTCTGCCGGGATTTACTACTGCACGCATTGGTTCAATCCAGGTAAAGATTCTCATTCTCCGCTTTTTGCTGCTTTCATTTTGTTGTTTCGCTTCTTTGTTTCCTGCTGCACCTTTTGCAACTTTCCTCGTTTTGTATATTCGCCCATTATCTGACGTGGCTCCTAGTTTCACCCTCTATAAGCTCCCTCGGTCAAATTTCTGACAGCACAGGCTGGTACGCCCTAAAGGCGTGCAGCTGGGCAGGTAATGCTGTTCAGCAAGCTGTTCTGGCTACAATTTGACCACTAGAACCATTCTGCTCGCTGGCTGAACTGTGTAATACAATGTCTACAAGCAGGAGATTTCTCCTCTGTACTTCATGAATTTACGATATTGTTTTTTCGCAGGTAACAGGGCTGAGTGTAACTATGTGAAGGGGGGTGACCACTGTTACTACCTCGATTACAACACGTCAGGAGTGAAGGTGATAGGAGGAGTGTGTTACGACAACTGGGATGGGCTCAAAGTCAACAATGGAAAATTGTGAGTCCTTACCTGTAACAGCTTGGCTGACTTGCCTGTGGGTTCAAGAGAATAGTGCATGATAACGAGGTTGGGGGTGGTGTACCTGTTTATACCTGGGTCTGCTTTACATGTCAGCCGCATCATCGTCATCCCCACCCCACAGCACTTCCACCACCACCACCACCACCACCCCCTCCCCTTCTCCCTCAACCCCTTCCCAACAACTTCTGCAGTAGGTTTTTGAAGCTTACCACCGCCTACCTGACCGTCTGAAACATGTGTTGCCGGTGGACGCTCTCAAGACCCCTGGCTGGTGGTGACTTATGAGAATTATACAAAATGACTCCCCTCTCTCCCCCCCTCCAAACAACTCCTGCAGCAACCGTCTGAAACATGTCTTGGTGGTAAACGCACTCAAAGCTCCTGGCTGATGCACCTGCCTCACCCCGCTGAAGCTTACCGCCATATCCCCTGCTTCCCTCTCTTCCCCCTCCCGACTGTTCCTACAGAAACCGTCTGAAACATGTGTTGGTGGTGAACGCTCTCAAGGCCCCTGGCTGGTGACTTTTGAGAATGATCAAAAGTTACTCCCCTCGCTCCCCCCTCCCAACAACTCCTGCAGCAACCGTTTGAAACATGTGTTGGTGGTGAATGCACTCAAGGCCCCTGGCTGGTGCACCTGCCTCACCCCCACCGTCAACAACTGCAACAAGTTTCCTGGAAACTACTGGGAGAACATGAGGATTAAGTATTACAACACACCCGTCTTCAAGCAGGTATGGCACGAACGTAGTTACGCTCTGCAGTAAATATAGAGTCAATGGGAATACACTACATTTGAAAACTTTTAAACACATTGTGTGAGTGAATTGAGTCCCCTGAACCAGGACATATGCTTTCATTATTCTGCTCTTACATCCTGCACATACACCCTGGTGCAGCAACTCCTATCCCCACATCTCCCCAACCCCCTCTCTCTCCCATGCACACGCACACATTCTTTGATCGCTTTCTCCCTCACATTCTTTCCCCTACTGCCTGCAGCGCTGGCCGTGGTTCCAAACAGTCTGCAACCAGAGTCACATCAACGGAGTGTACTGTAACATGAAGGGAAACGTTCCCAACCCTTATCTTCCATGGGAGACTGGCAAGTGCAGCGGATTGGCCACTAACAACTACCTTGATATTATTATAGTCAACGGGAGCAACAAGCCTATGGAGTATCGATACTGCGAACGCTCGCCTGCGATGCCGCTTCTTAACACACACTTATTTGTCAACTTCACGTTACGGGCCCTGCCAAAGCTACACTTCAAGAGCTGGAGAAAAGGCGAGTTCGAAGTGACTAAAAAGTCGGTGATTTACAAGCATCGGCCAAAGTTTCGTAACTGCCCGCAGGCAAGGTATGGGCCACAGAAGGTGGATAACAGTTTCTACTTCAAGAATTTCAACATTCCAAGGCCAGTGTGGATGGATGAGCTACTGGCGATGAGAACACTACATATACACGACTCAGTGGGATGGCCTTGACTAATGTTCCCATTCTTCTGGTTCTGCAACACAACTGGTCTGATTGATTTGCTGGTGCTAACCTGATCCAAGTCATCAAGATGCAGAGATGCTAAATACATGAACAAGCAAACAAGTGATGGCACGGCACTTATTGGGGTTAGCAACACACAGCAACCTACGCCTATACTTATGTGCCTCCGTTTATTTGGACAAAATCACTGGGACTGATGCTGCAAAATTATGGAGTAACGCAAGTAGCTCCCAGCTCATTCCAACTTCAGCCGCATCATGTGCTACGGATTCTGATTACGGCCTCTCATTGCCCCTGCACTGGTCCGTGCATTATTTATGGCGCTGGCGATAGCCTTATCAAGAAAGCGGTTTTCCCATCCGTAATCAAGCAACGCGTTGCCGCTTGGGACCCTCATCCGCCACATCATCTGCTCCAATGCCCGCACCCACCCCCACCTCTCCCCTCTTCTCCTCCTGCAGCTCCCAGCTCCGTTTTGAGCCATTTGAACCAGCAGCACCAGGGCCAGAATTCTTCCCCTGCTTCCTTGCAGGCTCAGCCCTGCCTGCTTCGCCCAGCAGAGCCATACAGAGGGCCTCCGCAATCAGCTCCTGGTTCATGATCGCCTGACGATTCGCCCCACTGACTGCACGAGCACCAGCAGGAGCACCACTCGCAGCAGCAGAGGAAGCAGATACGCCACCAGGCCTAGTCCCAGCAGCGGCAGCAGCAACAGTGGATGTAGAGTTCTTGCCCTGTGGTGTTCCTTTGCCAGAAGCTGACAACACAGCTGACGTCAGCGAAGCGATGGCGGAGGGGTCCCAGCCCTTGCTAAGGACTTCAGCGGCCAGAGCATCAGGAGTTGAAGGCGGTTGAGCCGCAGAGCTGTTGCCTCCACCGGCAGTAGAAGCAGCGGCAGAAGCGGCAGGAGGAGCAGCACCAAAAGCGGAAGCCGTAGAAGCAAAAGCGGTAAGAGCAGAAGCTAAAGCGGGACCGTTGGAAGATGCACCTGCTCCCGATCGCTGTTGCACGGGTGCGAAAGCAGAGGCTCCTTCTGTGGCTGCATGTCCGTCGTTAGCGCCATCACCGCCGCCAATAACGCTGAGAGGCGGAAGAGGCTTGGCTGGCGGAAAGCCCGCACCGCCATTATTAGTGAACCGCTGCACGGCGGACGAAGTAAGGGCCGTTTGACTGTCGCGCGAATTGACGTCAGCGGATGACGGACGTCCGTCAACTGCAGTGACGGCACCGCTCCTTCCGTCAGTGCAGTCGGTTGTGTTTCCAGCGCCGTTACAAGAAGCGGGACGGACGGCATGTCTAGAAGTCGCAGTGACCTTTTTGAACGCTTTGGACGGAGAGAATCTCAGAGAGCTAGGAGAAGGAGGTCCCATGGGAGACGAAGGCATAGCAGCAGGAGGTGCTGCCGAAGCAGGGTTGATACGCTTCGGCTGAGGCTGATATATCTTCGGAGCATTCTGGTGAGTGTCCGGGGATTGGCTATTCCGTGGCTTATGTTGCTGCTGCTGGTGGTACTGCTGCTGTGGTTGCAGCTGCTGGTGGTACTGCTGCTGTGGTTGCTGCTTCTGCTGTGGCTGTAGCTGTTGCTTCTGCTGCTGCTGTGGCTGCTGTTCCTGTTGCTGGAGAAGAGCTTGACGCATGGCCAGCAAAAGCACCTCCAAAGCCTCGTTCGAAGCAGCAGCAGCAGTCACTGAAGAATCAGCAGCTTTGCCTTTATTATGCGCCCCAAGCGCGTTTCCAGTGCAGCCGAGTGCTTTATTTGAAGGTTCTTGAACAGAAGTCGTAACCTTTGCTATGCTCGTGTTGGTCCTCCGATTCGCACGGGGATGTTCTAAGAGAGGAGTAGGTGTTTCCGGAGGAGCGGACGGCAGAGCACCCTCGCCGTTTACATCTTCTACAAGAATTGAGAAATGGAATCTGATGTGACCAAGAAGCTTGCCGTTTCGTTGGTGCACCGGCCAGACGGCGTCCATGGATTGGCGAAGATAGACCTGCTCCAGGTGCACCTTGCAGAATCCCATGTACTTGTCCTGGCCGTTTACCTTGTCCCAGATGTGAACGTCCATCTCCTGCAGACGAGTAATTTAGTGAATGAAGGGAATCGAGGATATTAAAAGAAAGACAATAAGGAAATAATCAAGACTATGCTGCATCGACTTAAAACTGGCTACTACATAATTATACAAAAAGAGCTTTCCCTAAAGAGAATAGAAACAAACTGAGTGAAACGAATACTGTTTTGGTTTCAATACTCACTGGAGGGTAATCTTGCTCGCGGTCAGGGAGAAGAAAATTGAATCGGTGGTTCCATACTGCTCGACCTGCTGCACCGCACTCGACGTCAGTGCGACGTTCCACCCCGTTGTAGCATAGAACCGCATATGGATCGATTTTATTCACCGTTTTGTTCTCTTTCAAACTAGCCGTTGATCCTATAGTCACTTCTAAACACTTCGCAACCATGGTGAACGTCAACACAAGCTAGCTCCGGAAAACACTGACTACGAGCTAAGGCGTCGGACTGTCTTTCAAAAACAGAACGATAGACGGAGGCTACTAAAATTCGTGAACCAAGCTCAAAGAAAGGAAAACACTGGAGTTCAACAGAAACCTTCAGGTGAAAGAGCTGGAGGAAGTGCAACAGGTTTTGTGGTTGGTCACTACAGCAGGGTAGGGAGCGGTGAGAAAAGGGTGCTGTACGGCTGAACTGGGCACCAGGGTGAACGTAAGAGGTGGAGCGCACCACCCTACGCTACTCCAAATCCTGCTGCTTCAATAATTGTTGCAAACGTGGCGACGAGGGTTCCGTCAACTGCACTTGACGGTCTGCGTATGGGAACAACTGGGTTTCTAACGGACGGGGAAGCTGTGTTTCTCCTGAACACGTTTCCGGCGGGATTGCCAGCACAGCATGACGCTAAAGTTGGGGTGGGAAGGGGATTGAGCTGACTGACGTGATGGTTGGGGAGCCCGTTAGCTGACGGAAAGTGTGTGTGTGGAGCAGGCGGTGCCATTTCATTGGGCGAGTCGGGCTTATTGGAGGGGTTGCCGTGGATGCCGAAATTTCGTCTGAGCAGGTGTCTGCGCGTCGTTCGTGAATCGCCAGAGTGCCTAGACAAACACCCCACGAGCTCATCAGGTTTACTGCCAGGCTTGTGGCTGATCGCGTCACATGCCAGCATATGGGCGAAGCGCTGATTTTGGCGCGCAATGCGGCGCGATTCACACTCACGGTGACTGATCGATAAAAGCCCGTGGATAAGGGCAGATTGTTGAAGTATAGTGCTCAAGCTGTTCAGTATGTAGCATAACGATGAAAACCAAACATGGCTGACGCATTTAATCTCATTGCATCACGGTGCAAAACAGTGAACCTCAATAACCGCTTGTGCACCATCTGGAATCTCCTTGCGCCACAACAGATTAAATGCCAACTTACATGCTGGACGTCCCACATGACGCTCGACAAGCTCCAGCTTTAGACAGTCTCAAAGATTTTCAAGTTTTCTTCTACCATACGCCATGTAATTTGAGTACAACAAAACATTCTAAAATCTCACATGCATCTATGCAACAGCTACTTCTTTGCTTCATCCTTGCCATGGTGGCTGCAGAAACATTTCGTGTGAAAAGCGCTAATTTTTCGCTCTTTTGGCACTGGTCGTCTTGGTCCAGTGGCCGAAGCACCACCAGGTGAGCCAGCTCGTCGTGCTGGTGAGCTTGGACTTGATGAAGTGCCTGGCTTTTCATGCCAAACTGAGCGTTTTCGAGGGGAGCTTGTTTTGGGCCTGGAGGTTGGGACTTCGCCGACAACCTGCCCATGATTCCAATGGACGAAGGAAGGAGGGAAGAATGGGAATGCAGTCATAAGGATTGATAAGGCAGTAAACGGTGATTATGTATATCCAGTCTGAAATTAGTCAGTATGTTGTTCACACACCTTCGCACAAGCTTGAATAGCCGCTGTTGTTGGCGGAGTAGTGCTTCCAGATGGACAGCCATACATTTCAGCCTCAGCGCCGGACAACTCCATCGGATTGACGCATAATATCGCCTCAGACGTCACAAGCGTGTTGGCGAGCACTGCTTCACGGACCGTAATGGCCCCAACTTCTCCTGCATTAGGCTCAGTAACTAGAGTGTCAATGTCTCGTTCTTGATGGATTGGTATAGCTGACGTGCTCCCATTCGTTGCATTCGGGGTGAAGGGCACATTCGCTGCAGGTGCTTCAGGAATGCCCTGCTCCCTATCCTCCCTTGCATTGATTTTGTCCTCAGTTGGAAAGTCAGCAACATTCCTTTGATCACTCGGACTGAATGGCAGGTACGGACGGGATAGTGATCCTGCTGGATCTGTATTGACCCGATGCAATCTTGAGTGGACAGTTCGTGTTGCAGCTCTGAAGACTGATTGTGCAAACTTAGGACTGCCGTTCGGGGTAGCTATAGCTTCCTTCAGCTTCACGTCAATATAGGAAGACAAAGAGCTATCCAGAGGGACACCCTGAAGATCACATCAAAGAAAATTAGACCGTATCCGACTCTTCCAATCCAAAACGAGAGCACACTGCTTACCTTCTGGACGGCTGCGTCAAGCAGCTCCTCGATGTCAACGTCCGATGCTTGGAGTAGCATCCAAAGGCTGTTCATTGCTGATGATTTTTCCGCTATTAACTGATCTCTCAGAGCCAATTGGAATTGCATCTCTGTCATCTCCACACTCTGCTAGCAATGAACAGTATTTGAGAAAGGACTCAACAAAGCACAATATGACAAAAACATTGGAAACTTACTAGGAACCTGAACTGGTTGAGGATGTGCAAGAATGAGGAGTTCTCATGGTTATTGACAAACGAGTCCAGCCTTTTCTGAAGAAGCTCCCTTTCGACCTCATTGTTGCTGATGTCCTGAAATGACCCAGAAGTAAAAAAGCCACCTTCTTGAATTGCTGAAGATCATCAAACACATACCTTCGCATATAACAGTTTCAGCTCCTCATTCTCGCACATGCTTTCCACGACAGCTGCTCTCTGATGACGCAATTCGTCCAGCTTCGTAGAAACATCCTCGTTCTGCTCCGGAACAAAAACCAATCGTTCAATAACATGTTTCCTCCTTATCTCAGCAGAACAAAACTTAATACCTGTAAAATAGCAATCTTCTGATCCAATCGGCAAACTTCATCACCAGCCCTCTTCAAACACTCGTTAAGCTCGCACATGGCTTTTTGCATGTTGATTCGCTCCTGGACGTTTTCGTTCAGTTGCCTACTTATGTCGTCTAGCCATGACGTGCCAGAGGGATCAGCAACAGGGTTCATACTGGAAGTGGCTGCTTGCTCAGCCAACTGACCCTTCAGCATGCTTACTTCCTCCTGGGTGGCAGGAACATTAGACAAAGAATCATGATTTGCATTCACAAAAAAGATGGATGAAACTGAACAAATACACACCTGAAGCTTCTCAATCATTCTGAGGTAGTCGCCTGATTGAGAGTCCACAGTTCGCACATTGGTCTGAATGTGATACGCATTAGCACAATCTGAAGAAAATCGAAGGGCGTCACAATTCAAACTCACCCTGATTCGTGTTTTGATCTCTTTTGCGCGGTCAGCGTACTTCAAAGTGTTGATGATGTGATGGTACTGGTCAGCGGCAGGGCAGATTGTAGCCACCATTGTAATTCGTGAATTGCCACTGAGGCCATCTTTCAACAATCTTGTCAGCTTGCTGCACGCAACCATACATAGTCAGACCCGGAGCAGATGCTTTTGTGGCTTATATCTCAAACTACCTGTTTCTGTAGGGAACGTAGCCAACCCCTCGCTTCTGTTGCTGGCATAGAGCGTTGATGCAGTTAGAAAGTGCAAGAAGAGACTTGTTTATGTTGGCGCCATCCCTTAACTGCTGTCCCATGTTGTTTGTCTCTGAAGCTCGTTCACTGTCAAGTGTGTCAAAACCAGTGCACAAGATACAATACACGGGAAAAAGGACAGGGTCCTTACCTTCCAGCCAAATCCACCAAGCAAAGCTTCGCTCCCATCACGCGTTCAGCTGAGCGTGACGAGACCACTCTCTTAACATCAATCTGCAGGACAGCATGCGACCTGGAATATCCATACTTGTGTTGTGTTAATCGAGCACATATGGGGTGCAGTGTGACAAACAGAAATTTATACCTAGATGATGTCAGGTTGGCATCCGTGCTCTCAGTTTTCCGCCGAAGATTCCCCTGTCTCAACAAATCCAATATCTTTCCAGCACTTTGAACCTGCGAAACGTATGATTAGGTAAAGAATACGGCACTCATACACGTGCCGCTGACATTACCTTGATGCGTTTTAAACCAGCAACAGAAACTCCCTGACCAGGATCTTCTCTCAACTCCAAGCTTCCAGACGATTCCACCAAGAGGTCATATATGATCAGCCCGAAGAATCCAAGGCTGTAATGGATTTGCATCTTGACGATGCAATTGCTGCGCCATGTCAACTAACCTCATTGTAAATTTCCAGGTAGGAGCATGAAATGTCCACACTCTCTCCTGGGTCAACTTGCATGCCTTTCACGAGATTGAAAATGTCATTGAAACCTAGCACCATGAGTCCCGGATCTTCGTCATTACCAACCATTGTCCATGTCTTCCCGCTGCCACATAGCCGTGTCAAGCGTGTAGAAAACATCTCGAGGAAGAACAGGAGTTTCCAGATTGCTCACCTTCCAGTTGCACCATAAGCAAAGACCTGAAATTGGGAAAACGTGTCAAGACTTGACAGATTGCGATGGGGTAAGGCTTTCGGAACTTACTGTGGCATTTAGACCTTCTGTAAGGCCCTGAATCATAGGCTGCACTGTGGGAGTGTATATCTCCTGCGCATTGTCATAATAATGTTTCCTTAATCTCAGAAGGTGCTCGAGGTGCAGGTTTATAGTGGTCTCGCAACTCACCACATTGGACGAAACGCCATTAAAGGCCCTGTCAAACGAGAAGTGCTTTTCTTTTGTTCGGTGTTGAATCTTATCAAGGTATTGTTTATCCACGTCCGGATCCAGCACAACGACAGTCTGTACGAGCTCAGCAAGTTAGTAACGACAAGAACTGGAAAGGAAAACATGGGAATGCAGACAGCACCTTGTCGTCCAGTACACGAACGATGTCATGCCTGCTCCTTCCTAAATCCCTATTGGATAATGGCCGCACCCTCACTACGACCTGAATTTACCAGAAAGAAGGTTAAACAAAATTAACGCGTGGCTTTTAAGAGCTGGCGCGAGGGAAGCAGCTGACCTGTAACGACCTCTGTTTTGAAGCAGTAATTACAGGCCTCATTGTTGTATCTCTCGAGCATCCGGAGTCAGAATGGCTGTCGCTAACTCGCAGTTTCCACCTAAAATGACTGAAAACGTCACAAGAGCAATAAAAATGCAGTACGTGATTTGTGAGTTGTGGACTGGGTACGATTCGTTATTATTCAAGAACTGAAACACGTTTAAGCACTGTACAAACTTCACTAGTTCACAATTATGTCTTATGCCTAGCTTTTTTGCCTTGATTTTTATAGGCCAATATATAGGAACATACAATCAAGCAAAGGCAGCTGAACCAAGCAAAGATCACCTAGGCCACTAAAACACCCTCTGGACCCACGGGCTCCACTTTTCCAGGGCCATCTCCCTGGAAGTCCTCCTGCAAGTAGGGCAACAAAGATGATGGTAAGCTCGTCAAGTGAAGAAAAGCTTAACAGAAACTCATTTCAAAAAGACTCACGGAATTATAGATGACTGTGATGAAAAGAGAGCAGCTTGGACATCTTGCAATCTCCTCTCCATTTTTAAGCTCCTCCTGCCCACGAAGAAGTCAACGATTCGCATCACAAGAAGCAGCGTCAATGATTGTGGCACATGGAAGCTAGATTAGAGAAGGATAGGTACGTGATAGTATCACTAGTGTAGAGAATAAATAAGAGAAACCCTGAGCATAGCACCCAGGGGCTTCCAAGCACAGATAGTAGCTTACAAGAGTAATCTGGAAAAGGTCGCCACACGGACAGGAATAGGTGAACGCCCCCAATTCCTCGTTCCACTCCATGTCCTCGATCTCCACCTCGTCGTACGACATGGTGGACGCAGAGAGCTGTAACGAGATTTAGCGGACAAGTGCACTCGACAAGATTCAAAGCCTCCGAAATAGGACACGGTCAAAGCCGTATAGTACGGAAAATTCTAGCAACGGGAGGTAGTGATGCTGCGGACACGTCAAAGAGAACCAGGATGGACCAGACAACCCCAGTATGCGCACAACCCTAGATCGTCGACGACCGGCGCGTCAGGGTACCCTGAGATGACTCTAGCCCAAAAGGAGCACGAATATTCGCATAGCAGAAGCAACCAGCGCGAATCGCGTCTGTGGCGAGCCCCAAAATCGGTATGTGTGTGTGTGGAACACGCTGCACTACACTGAAGTCGCCGTTGCGTGCAACGAGGGTTGCTGCAGGGAAAGCTTGCGTGGTTCAAGCTCGCGTGCTGGGTTTCGCCGAATTTTGCTTGGGAGTTGGCAAAGCCAAAACGTTTAGAGCGAAATTGGGAAAATGTGGTACACAAGGGGTTCGACATGGTTTGGTAGGTTCGATACCTAATATGCATTGTTGATTATTAATTTGTTCGATATTGGAGCTCATATCTCGACCTCCCTTGTAACGCATCCTCAAGGTCCCGCCACAAGTCAACAACACCAGCCCCCAGAATGCGTGGCACGCATGCTGAGCACCGTCTCAGTCAAACGCGTAGCAAAATTAAGCCTCGAGCTGTTTTTGCGCTTCGGGCCATGGCAAATCAATGGACGTCTTGTGCAGGGAAGCCTTCGCGCGAACAGCCTCCTTGGTTCCACTCGCGGATTTTTATCTGGCTCCCCTTGGCTAACGTAGCGCCATTTTCCCCAGAGCCCGACTGATTGCTCGCGTTCCACAGGGTGCTTTCTTAGTGAGGCAGATAACTTGCACCAGTAATATTCTTTTCTTCTAGCAAAAAGTGAAGCGTCAGGTAGCCATGTCACCGCCGACTGGAGCTCGTCTCGCGTACGTGATTCTATACGTGGAAGACATCGACGCAGCGGTGAAGTTTTACAAGGACGTGTTCATGTTCGATGTGAGGCGCGTGGACAACAGCAGAAGGTATTCAACGGTATCTTGTTTTTTTCCCGTCTGTTGTTCATTGCACTACCAAATGGTTTCTATCTGTCTTCTTCGTTTTCCCCTTTTAAAATGCATGTTACATCATTTTGAGTCACTCATTTTGCTTGCCAGATGGGCTGAATTGGAGACTGGGTCAACAACTCTGGCGTTCACCCCGCTGGAGCAAAGGGAGACGAAGATCACAGGAGGCGTGCATGCTCCTGAGGAGCAGGAGCAGCGGCGGAACGTGGAAATCAGCATTAGCGTTTTCGACGTCCAAGATACTTTTGAGGTACAGTCATGTCATTTTTTCCAGTTGGCTGAAATTCCTTGCTTCTTAGCGTGACTTGGTGAAGGATGGATTGACATAAACTCGGTAATTCGTCGTCCGCAGAGAGCCCTAAAGGCCGGAGCTAAGGAAGTTGCCAAACCAGAGCCCAAAGAGTGGGGCCAGACTGTTGGATACCTTCGTGATCCCTTTGGCATCACTGTTCGGCTTGGCTCACACTTATCCTCTTCATAATTGCCAGTGGTTGTCCCGCAGCCGGGCCTGATCACTTTGCCAGGATCCTGAGATGTGCCAGAGAGAAGGGTTGTGAATTTGTAGGCAGTGTATAGCTTCTAGCATGTGTGGCGTCACAAGTTGCATTCACTGTTTATAGAATCAACTCAAGGCATAGCCAGACATACATGGGAGTGTTGGACACATACTGTACTTGAAGAACCAATTCACAAGGGAAGAAGATATCAACACTAGGATGACGGAAATAATTGGCACAAACAGAGACTTTGGAAAGGACAAATCGCAGGTTTAGGTTGATGTACAAAATAAAGTGGTAAGGTGGTAACTCCCTGTACAAATCAAGCAAGTCAGAAGGCTCCCTTCCAATCACACCCTCACTGAGCGGACATGCTCCACTCTAGGTGTGAATGGCATAAGAACCAGAAGAAAAGCAATTCACACCCTCCCATCATACTTGTAGGCAGAATGCAAGGGCTAGCACGGCAGCATAAACCCCTGAACCATCCTTGAAAAGCTTGTTCACACACCCCGCGCTTCCCTCCTTCCAAAAAGCTTCACGCTTTCAAGAACCTTCAAGAGTTGACACGAAATCAAACAGAGTCTCATACCTCCTGGCCCCATCCCTTGTGCAACATCTCCCCGTGCATCACTCCTTGTAAGCTGAATGCGAGGCGGCCAGCAGAGGAGCACCGATCCCCGACCCATCTTTAGACAGCTTCATGTTCACAAACCCCGCCATCTCCTCGCCAAGAAGCCCCGCTCCGTATCTGACTTTACAAAGAATCACCCACATGGAGAAACGGCTCTTCTTAACCCACCCCCCAACCCATCCCCCCTGCATTACTCCTTGTATGCAGAGTGTGAGCAGCACCAATCCCCGATCCATCCTTCAACAGCTTCATGCTCACAAACCCCGCCACCTCCTCGCCAAGAAGCCCTACGTACCTGAGTTTACACAAACCACACACGGTCTAATGTCTAGCGCCCCTCCTTGCACCACCCCCCTGTCCGTCCCTCCTCGCATCCCCCCTTGCATGATCGCATCACTCTTTATAAGCGGAATGCGAGGCGGCCAGCAAAGCAGCACCGATCCCCGACCCATCCTTCGACAGCTTCATGCTCACAAACCCCGCCACCTCCTCGCCAAGCAACTCCTTGAGCGTCTCGTGAATTCCCTCGCGGAACGGAGTGTAATGCTCGTACATACCCCCGTCCACTGCTACCACTGTCCTCGGCACATGCCCCAGACCTGCCCCTGCCTCTGCTCCTGGTGCTCCTGCTTCTCCTCCTGCCACTTCCCCATCAATAGCTGCTGCTTCTCCTGTGCTTGGCTGGGCCTTCCCATCACGCCCTAGCTTCTGCAGCACACCCACGATCCCAGCGGCCACAAGACGGGCGCCTCTCTCTCCAAAGATACGGCTCACCTCCTGCACTGCCTGGCGCTGTGGCAACGATGTGTCTGGGAGCTGCAGGTGGGGGGGATAGCGAACATGTGCAAATGGGAGTGTGCTCACATTAACGGCAGGAACAGGGCGGGCGCCTCTCTCTTCCAGAATGTAGCTCGCCTCCTGCACTGCCTGGCGCTGGGGCAGTGAGGTGTCTGGGAGCTGTAAGCGGGGAGGAATGTGTAAACACGTCGGCTTTGGGTGATGCGAGAATGTGAAGCAAGAACTTGAAGCGAAATTGTGGAACACGAATGATAAGGAGGGACCTGGAGTGAGCAAGGGAAGTTAACAAGGGAAGAAGGAAAAAAGCCTGACAGTAAGAGGAAGGTGAGCGTGAAATAAGATACTAGGATGGAGAGCCTCGTGCTCCTTTGAAGGGCTGAGGAAGAAGAGTGTTTTTGAGACGTCTCGGAAACATTCTTCTTTCATGTGCCTGACAGTAAGAGGAACGTGGGCATAAGATATTAGAATGGAGCCTCGTGCTCCTTTGAGGGACTGAGGGAGTGCGGAAAACGAGGAGACAGCACACGATACGCTTTGGATACGATTCACACACCTCAAGAGCCTCTGCAAGCACGGATCCAACTTTGGAGAGGTCTGAAGTGGTGTCCTCATGAATGATTGCCACTTTGGGCGTCCTGCATTTTACAGCACAGGAAGACGCGACGATGGCAACAGAAAGCGAAGGCGAATAAGTTGTGCTACGTTATGCGATGGAAATGACTCCACCATAAGGTTCAACGATGAAGAGATGCTAACGATGACAATAGGATAGAGAAGACTTTTGAGTCGACTCAAAAGTCACAATGATGAAAATAGGATAGAGAAAGTAAAGGAGCACGGTGGGGCTCGAAAGAGAATGGTCTGTTGGACCCTCATGATGAGAAGACACTGGGAGCAAGTTGGGTTGACACAGCTGATCTAAGAAATGGGTTGCTAGAACAATATTATTTCATGTTCCATTTTCTATGTGCTAGAAATGGGTTTCTAGAACAGAACAAACGCTTACGGGAGGGAGCTGGGTTGGAGCAACTTGGCAGGGACGGGTTCCCCAAACAGCTTCGACTTCTGAGCAATGTCAAGCAGGGCCAGACGCACCACCTCCCCCACATACATGCCAGATATCATCTTCTCGTAGCGCTGTGACACATGTGTAACAGCATTCGGATGGTGGGGAAGATTACAGGTGTGAGAGTTGGTAAACAGAAACAGAGCAGGGCCAGGCGCACCACCTCCCCCACATACATGCCCGATATCATCTTCTCATAGCGCTGCGACGCGCAACAATGTAAGGATGGAAATTAGAAAACTTGATTAATTTCTAGTGTAAGATGTGCTTACCACCCTTCAGTACGTTATCTTGAACTGTTCTTTTCTGAAAAGCTGGAGCAGGTTTCTTTTTACATGCGTTCAATTCCTTCTATGCGAAGATGCATTTTCAGCCTCACCTGCTGGCCGCAGTTGGCGCTCTTGGAATCAAGAAGGTCGTCATACTCCGTGACAGGCAGATGGCCAGACCAGAAGTGGATGGATGGGCCGAGTATTGCCCCACCTCACTCCATTCAACCATGACATAGAGCGTGCTTCGCCTCACCTGCTGGCCGCAGTTGGCGCTCTTGGAGTCAAGCAGGTCGTCATACTCCGTGACAGGCAGTTGACCGGACCAGAAGTTACCCCACTCCATGTTGATCACCTGGTGAAATAGAGGGAGACAGGCAGGCAGGCAGACAGGCAGACAGGCAGGCAGGCAGACAGACAGACAGGCAGGCAGGCAGACACGCAGGCAGGCAGACAGGCAGACAGGCAGGCAGACACGCAGACAGGCAGACACGCAGACAGGCAGGCAGACAGGCAGGCAGGCAGACACGCAGGCAGGCAGACAGGCAGACAGGCAGGCAGACAGGCAGGCAGGCAGGCAGGCAGGCAGGCAGGGAGAGGAGGGGGGGACGGGCAGGAAGGGAATAAACAAGAAAGCAGATGGCCGGAACAGCAATTGTCCCATTCCATGTTGATCACCTGGTGTGAACGAGGTAGACAAGCAGGGAGAAGAGGGGGGGAAAAGTCGGCGGAAGGGGGTCAGGGCAGGAACTTCAGATGGCCAGGCCAGAAGTTGCCTCACTCCATGTCGATCACCTGGTGTGAATGAGGTAGGTAGGCAGGCAGGCAGGCAGCATGGGAGGAGGGAGGGGTGGCAGGAAGGAGAGGGGGGGTTTGGGGTGTAGAAGGGGGACAGGGCAGGACTTTTAGATGGCTGGGCCAGTAATTGCCTCACTCACTCCATGTCGATTACCCGGTGTGGGATGCAGGCAAACACAATGACTGTTCCACGCCCGGCCCGGTTTTCCTGACGCTGGTGTCATGAATCTCCTAGTAGCACGCATTGGACCCCGTGCGCAGAATAACTAGTCATGTAAACGCCCTACTAGAAGCATACCATGCGGCCTACCAGCCACAGACACGAACCATGCGGCCTACCAGCCCCAGACACGTATCACGCGGCCAGAGGCCGGAGGAGGGCCGGTTTGCCTGACGCTGGTGGCCTGAATCTCCTCATAGCACGCATTGGACCCCGTGCCAGGCACTAAATAACAAATTTGATGCCTTACTAGCTCTACAAACATACCATGCGGCCAGAGCGTCTGCCTGACGCTCATGTCTTGGATCTCCTCGTAGCATGCGTTGGAGCCCGTACAGAGAATGACCAATTCGAGCAACACATACAGCCTGACTCACACAGACTAAGGCTGAAAAGACTGTACCATGCGGCCAGAGGCTGGCAGGGGACCGGTCTGCCTGACGCTCATGTCTTGAATCTCCTCGTAGCATGCATTGGAGCCCGTGCCGAGAATGACCCCCAGCATCACATCTGACTCAATGAACCGTGCTCCTGCTAGCGTGCCCACTGCATCGTTCACCTGCAACGCAATGGGACGGCATGGGATGGTTTGCTTAACCATGCTGTGCCTTAGGAGCACCTGTAATGACCCCCAGCATCACATCTGACTCCACAAACCGTGCTCCTGCCAGTGTGCCCACTGCATCATTCACCTGCAACGCAATGGGATGGACATGTCTTTGAGGTGCCTCATATGATCCCCAGCATCACATCTGACTCAATGAACCTTGCTCCTGCCAGTGTGCCTACTGCATCATTTACCTGCGAGTGAATGGGATGGACACTCGATGCTTATGTTATGCAATGTTCACGTTTTGCAATGCTGATGTTATGCAATGGTGAAGTTCTGCAATGTTAATGTTTTGCAATCTTATTGCTATCCAATATTGATGTTATGTGGAACCTCGAAATTATGCAATGTTAGCGTTACGCAATGTTCATGTAACGCAGCATTCATGCTATGAAATGTTCATGCAATGCAATGTTCATGTTATAATGTTCATGAATTGTAATATTCCTTCTATGCAGTGTTCATGCTATGCAATGCTCATGCTATGCAGTCTTGATGTTATGCAATGTTCATGATGGGTGAAGTTGATGCTGTGTAACGTTGCATGTTGCAAAACAACCACGTTAATAAAACGTCATATCTTGAAAAAAAACTTACTAGTGCAGAGACTTTCATGTCAAGCTTCTGCCGTTCAAGAGCCTCCTCTAGAACCTGAACCACGTCCCTCCCTTCCTGCACACACACCAGCGAAATTGTTCAACAGAATAACACACTTAGCGATGGAAGTTGACTGCGAGCTCTTACAATGAAATCAACAAGAGCGAAAAAAACAGCAGCACCGAAATTGCATTTCCCTTACATTCTTGGACCACATAGAGATGGATGCTCCTTAGTTTAGTAACGTACTACACCTCATAGAAACATCAATTTTGTCCCCACTCACTGTTTCAGGGATGTTGAATCCCTTGGTCCACTTGATAAGCCTCCCAGCGTTGATAGCCGTGTGGTCACATGGGAACGAGAAAGTGAATCCCAGCTCCCTGTGCTTGCCCTCTGCTGGCTTAAACTCCTCCTCCTCCTTTGCTACGAACGCTGCCAGCCTTGATGCAATGTAGTCAAAGAGAGCCTGCCAAAGAGAACAGGAAACGGAATGGAAAATCTGTGTAAGGAGTAGTACTCCTCTATATCGTACTCCTCCTCCTTTTCTTGCCATGACAGCCGCCAGCCTCGGTGCAATGTAGTCAAAGCGAGCCTGCCAAAGAGAACAGAAAACATAACATTCTTATTTCTAATAATAAAATAAGAAGCACCTTTGGTGAAGGAAATTTGTGAAAACAAATGTTAATACTTCTAGAAGAATAAACCCTTGGTGAAGGATTGTGTGAATTGGGCAAAAGCACCCACCTCAGTGGTGCCAGTCATGAGCTCGGGGCTGATGGAGGCACCCTCTGAGTCCACCTTGCCGATCCCACCGTCCCTCCCCAGCAGAGGCACTCGCAGCACGCGGAAGTTGGTCCCGCCCAGGTCCAGCGCGTAGAACACGCCCTTCTCCGACCTGCACACACACAAAAAAAGAAGTTTTTACACAGATGGAACCATTGCTACTCTTTTTGTTAGTTTCTCGCAACCCATTGTCCCCCCCCCAGGTCCAGCGCGTAAAACATGCCCTTCTCCGACCTGCATGCTGTAAAAAAATAAATGGTCATCCAAGAAGTTTCGTTGTAAATAGCTTGAAGACAGCTCGCTGCCGAATGTTACACCAAAGCCCACGGATTCAGGATTCACAACCATGTGACCAGCCACCATCTCCGCCTTATATGTCCGCAGCGATTTGCAGCAGCCGATCCTTACTCGTGCTGCCTTTCGAATCGACTAAAGGATGCACGAGTCAGGAGATGCCACTTACCCATCAGGGAGGCGGTCGACGTAGGAAGGAAGCATCTTGAGCGTGCTCCGCTGGGTGGTCCTCAAACCAGACTGCTTTGCGTATTCCACCCCCCAAAAACAAATTCAAGGAGACGTACCCGTCAGGGAGACGGTCGACGTAGGAAGGAAGCATCTTGAGCGTGCTTCCCTGCGTGCTCCTCAGTCCAGAAACCATTTCCGCCTTCATGTCCGCTGCGATCTGCAGCAGCTTCTCCTTGCTCGTGCTGCACTCCTCCCTTAAGCGATCGATCAGCTCCTTAGTCGAAATTGCTGAAATTTCTTTCGACGAGGCGTCATCGCGGTCCGTCTTCTTTTTCTGGCAGCAGTAGTAGCGCCGAACGAGGTACACTCCCGCTGCCGTGCCGGCCGCAGCGGCGACGATCAGAAGAAGTTTTGTGTACCTTCCCATGCTTCGCAGCCGCGTCGTTCGCAGCCCCCTGCTCTACTGGATGAAGAACGAAGAAAGCACGACCTGGTGGTGGCTAATTTACACAGGCGGGGTCGTCAACGGAGGAAGGCAGCAGAGGAGCAACCCAGAAAACGTCAATGGAAGAGTAGAGTCGTGGCGAAATTGAATGTGGAATTCGGCTGGTAAATCAAGCAAGAGAGAGCAGGAAGAGGAATTTCTGGGAACAGAAAAAGGCAAGACTGGAGGATGACACTAAAACGGAAGTGAAAACAAGAATGTGACGGCGCGAATGTAACATTAACGAGGCCAAGAAACGGACCTGGCGGACTTGACCGAAGGATCCTTGGGAACTGCTCGCCACGCATTGGTCCGAAAGACTCGAGAGCTGAACTGGCAAGTTCGAGAATGTGGCGAATAGAAGGCTGCACACGTGGCTGGCAGTGCCCCTGCAAAATATCGACATGTGCTTTAGAGAGAAGGCGTTGTACTTTCAACAATTATAACTCTGAAATAATAGCTTGGCTATTATATATAACATTACACAAGGCTTACACACAGGTGATAATAATACAAGGCTTTTCTTCCTTGGGAACTGCTCTTGGATCGTTAACCCCCTTTATTCTCCTCATTTTGCTTCTCTTCCGGATTTTTATTCCGCATTCCTCCCACGGCAGCAGCCTTGGCAGCAGCCATTCGTTTGCTCTCAGCTGTGGTGGGCCGAGCATGGTCCCGCAGCCTCGGCCAGTGTAGGTACAACTGTGCAATGAATAAAAAGGGGAGGATAAGAGATGGTGAGTGTATTGGGCACCTTCGGGGATTGATGCATCGATTTGAGAGGTAGAGTAGAAACTGAAGCTGCTAACACCAGGTTGAATGCATGGCACATGGCACACGGCATATCGCACATGACGCACAGCACATTGTGCGCGGCGCAGGCACATGATGCACGGAACATGGCACATGACACATGATGCATGGAACATGGCACATGGCACATGATGCACGGAACATGGCACATGGCACATGATGCACGGAACATGGCACATGGCACATGATGCACGGAACATGGCACATGGCACATGATGCATGGCACATGATGCATGGCATGTGGCACATGATGAATGGAACATGGCATGTCGGACAGCGCCCATATAAAGCATAGCCCATGGCACATGGCACGTGGCGCACCAGTGGAGGGGCGGAGGGAGGATGCATGGCAGTGCAACAAAGAGCAACCCTATCAGCAGAGCGCATCAGGCAGCACAAAGGCAAGGCACCCATCTGCTGGTAATCCAGCAAATGCCCTTCCAGAAGCAGAGCAGCTTGGTGCATGGAGGGGCGCAGAGCGGGTGTGTGGCGCAGGCAGAGCAGAGCAGCAGCAGAGCAGCAGCAGAGCGACCCTATTAACACGCCCCAGCTAGCAGCAATGGGCAGGCAGGAGGAAACCCACCTGCTGGTAATCCAGAGAGTGCCCTTCCAGCAGCAGGGCCACTTGGTGCATGGAGGGGCGCAGGGAGGGCGTGTGGCGCAGGCAGAGCAGAGCAGCAGCAGCCATGCGGTGCAGCGAGGGCAGATCCACTGCACCCTCCACTCGCGGATCCAGCAGCAGGTGCAGTTTACCAGATCCCAGCAGAGGGAGGGCCTGGAAGACGGTGGGGGGCCAGAGTGGAGGGGGACGAACAAGAGAGCATATGTGAGTTGGCTCTGGCGCAGAGCAGGGCAGCAACAGCTATGCGGTGGAGAGAGGGCAGGTCCACTGAGCCCTCCACACGCGGGTCTACTAGCAGATACAGTCTACCCGATCCCAGCACAGGTGACTTTTGAGTCGACTCAAAAGTCACCTCGCTAACACATACAGTCTACCCGATCCCAGCACAGGGAGGGACTGGGGAAGGGGAAAGACCGGGAGGGTGGGTATGAGGTGATGTGTGAGTGGATGCAGAAAGGGGAGATCCACTGAGCTTTCCACATGCGGGTCTGCTAACAGATGCAGTTGACCCGAGCCCAGCAGAGGGAGGGCTTGGAGGCAAGGGGAAAGGACGTGCGGGGAAGAAGGGGGCAGAAGTATATATTATATGTGAGTCGGCTCTTGAGCGGAGAAGAGTAGAGCAGCAGCAGGCATGCGTTGTGCAGCGACGAGGAAGGATCCACTCCACCCTGCACATGCAGGTCCAGTAGACTTTTGAGTCGACTCAAAAGTCATGCGTTGTGCAGCGACGAGAAAGTCATGCGTTGTGCAGCGACGAGAAAGTCATGCGTTGTGCAGCGACGAGAAAGTCATGCGTTGTGCAGCGACGAGAAAGTCACTGCACCTTGCACATGCACGTCCAGTAACAGGTGCAGTCGACCAGATGCCAGCAGCAGGAGAGCCTGAAGGGGGGGGGTTGGGGAACGAGCAGCAACACTCGTTCACTCAAACCCCAATTCCGCCTCCCCTTCCCCCCCCACACTCACCCACAGCACCAGGTCCACCCCCTTGCTCCACTCAACCACTCACTCACTCACTCAACCCCCCATTACCCACCTTCACCCCCTCTCACCCCCCCTTACCCCACCTCATCCCGCCTCATCCCCCCTCACCCCGCCTCACCCTCCATCATCCCTCCCCACCCCTCCAACTCACCCACAGCACCAGGTCCATCTCCTCCTTGCTCCTCCTCGGATCCACAGGCCGGCGACTCGTTATAAGCTCCAGCAGCAGCACTCCAAACGCGTATGTATCAGTGTGGGTGGACAGCCGCCCCCTAAGAAAATACTCGGGGGCCATGTACCCCACCGTACCCTCTATAGGCGACTTAATGGATCCGTCTATAGCGGGTTTATTCGCCACCCCAGTTATAGCCAACACAGAGGCTTGTAAAGGAGAGGCTTGTAAGGGAGACGAGGAGGGTTGTAAGGGGGATGCGGAGGTGGAGGGGGGAGGGGAGGGGATCCATCTGGCAAGGCCGAAATCAGCAACCAGTGGTTGCCAGTCGTGGCCCACTAGAATGTTGCCTGTCTTGATGTCCCTATGCACTATGCACCCCTCTCCTGCTGCTGCTGCTGCCCCTGCTGTTGCTGCACCTGCGGCTGAACCTTCACCTCCCTCTGCCGCCCCTCCTGCTGCTGCTGCTGTTGCTGCTGCTGCTGATGCTTCACAAATGCTGCTGCTACAGCTGCTACAGCCGCTGTGAAGATAGGCCAGCCCTCGAGCCGCGCCGACCACAGCCTGCACGCGCCGCTCCCACGGCATCACATCTCTTGTCTTGGAGTGCAAGTTGCGCTCCACACTGCCATTCCCTGCCAACTCATACACCATAATATGCTCTCCTCCCTCCATGCAGTATCCAAGAAGCTTCACTATGTTCGGATGAGCACTCGCCCTCTCTACTATCCTCACCTCAGTCATAAATCTCTCGTTCTCCTCTGCCTCCCGAGCCTTCCTCTCTTCTTCTCCTTCTTGTTCCTCTTGGCCATCACCCTCCTCGTTTCCCTCCAATTTTCCCTCTTTTCCCTCCTCCCCACCACCTCCTCCCCTCCTCTCCTTCTCTCTCTCCTCCTTCTCCCTCGCCTGCTTTGCCTTCTCCTTATCCCTACTCCTCCCCTTCTTATACACTCTCTTAACCGCCACCCTCACAACCTTAGTCGACCCCCCCGAACTCCTCAATCCGCCTCTACCACCGCCACCAACCGCACTGCCACTGCCCGTATGCTCCCCTATAGTAAGCTTCAGTTTCCCCTTATACACATGCGCGTACCCTCCCTTCCCTATCATGTTCTCTCGAGCGAAATTTCCTGTTGCTGCAACAAGCTCTTTGAGAGGAAAGATGCGGGCGGGAGAATGTGTGGCTGTGATGGATTGAGAGGAGCGAGTGGAGGAGGATAGAGACTGGCCTTGCTGCTGCTGTGTGTCTGGATTCTGGTGTGCAAAGACGAGCTGAAACAGGAGGTCTACTGATATTGGCGTGGTGCCCTTCCCAGCAGCAACAGAAGAAGCAGCAGACGCAACAGAAGAAGCAGCAGACGCAACAGGAGGAGCAGCAGCAGAGGGTGCAGCAGAAGGAATCGGCACATCAAGCGGAGACGCTACAGCAGCAGCAGCAGCAGCAGCAGCAGCAGCAGATTCTGGGGGAATGCATGCCGCAGGATTCACAGCAGGGGAATCACTGGCAGAATCTGCTGCTGCTGCTGCTGCCACTGCTACGTTTGCAGCTGGAGCTGCTGCTGCTGCTTCTCCCTTTTGGAGGTTCCGCCTGGGTTTGCGAACGTTCGGTGTCGGCTTTGGCACCTGTGTGGCAGGTGCCTGTGGGCCAGCAGGCAGTGCAGCAGCATCAGCAGCAGCAGCAGCACCGGCAGCAGCCACAACAACAGCAGCAGAAGCAGAAGCAGCAGCATCAAGAGTCATTCCTTCTCCAGCAGCAGCACCAGCAGCAGCAGTTGTGACAGCAGCAGCTGTGGAAGCTGCAGGGTTATCAGCACTTGCAGCCTCATCAGCAGTGCTGCCAGCAGCAGCGGCGGCACTAGCAGCAGTCGCAGCAGCAGGGGCAGCAGCACCAACTCCAGCAGCAGCAGACAGATGTGTCTGGGTGTGAGCAGGCACGTTCTTGGGCCAGGGCTGGCGATTCAGAAGCGAAACGTGCCGATTTGCAGCAAGGAGCCCATCCATCGCCCGCCTTCCCCCACCCCCTTGCACACCCCCTTGCACCCCCTCTGCCTGCTGCTGTGCTTGCCCCGCCAGAGGGACACTTGACTCCCCGAAGACAGACGTGTGGAGAGAGGCGGGGGGCTTGGCATCCGAGCCTCCTACTAATGTGATGTGGGAGTCTGATGCTGCTGACCCGGCTGGAGTGGATGCCTGGTGTGTACTGGATGGTATTCTGAACCAGCCAGTCAGGCCAGGGGAATCGGCAACAGGAGCAGCAGCGGTACCAGCAGTAGCTGTCGCAGTAGCAGGGGTCCCAGTAGCTGCTGCTGCCGCTGCCGAAGCTGATGCTGATGCGTCAGGACGAGAAGAGATTTGAGGTGGGGAAGAAATAGCAGCAGACGCTGAAGCAGCAGCAGCAGCAGCGGCGGCGGCAGTATCAGTGGCAGTGGCAGCGGCAGAAGCAGCAGCAGCAGCAGTGACAGCATCATGACCAAAACTTCTTCCTCCCAGTTTCAGCAATCCCCTCATGCTCCACCCACCCTTGCCTTCCTCTCTCCTCCCTTCGCCTCCCACCCCTCCCGCAACCCCCCCTTTCTCGCACTCTCTCTCATTTCTCTCCCTCTCATTGCCCTCCCCTCTCCCCTCGCACTCTTCTAATCGCCTGGGCATACTAGTATCTATTCTCCGCTGCTGCTCTATCCCTAATCCCCCCGGCTCTTGCCCTTCACCAGACTCCTGCTCCTCATACTCTTGCTGCTCCTCCTCCTCCTCCTCCTCCTCGTCGTCCTCCTCATCCTTCTCCCCTTTGTCCTCCTCCTGTCGTTCCGTCTGCCCTTCTCGGCACCCAAGCTCACTCCCCCACTCCCCCTCCCTTTGCCCTTCCTCCTCTCTTTGCCCTTCTCCCAACCTCGATGCCCCTCCTCCCAACCTCTGCCTGTGCATCTGCCTGTGTATCCTCCGGCTGTGCTCGATGTTTATATTTGCTAGATCTGAAACCACCCTCACACTCCCGCTCACACTCCCACTAAAACCCTCACTCACACCCTCACTCCTCCCTGTGTACCGACTCACGCTCTCACTCCCCTCGCCATATCGGCTCACACTCCCACTCTCGTCGTAGCATGCGCTCATGCCGCTGGTAACCGCACCACTGTTTGTAACAAGCCTGCTACTGCTGGTAACCAGGTTACCAGAATGGTACGATCCATTCAGCCCCCGGGGCCCTGTTCTTACTCGACAGGAGGGGCGGATGGGAGGGGGGCGAGGGAGGGAAGAGGGGTGGTGGTGCTGGGGAGGGGTGAAGGGGGGAGTGAGGGAGGAGAGGGAGGAGATGGAGGAGGAACAAGAGGTAAGGCTCTCTAATGGTCTATGCATGTATGTGCTGGTGATGGTAGTGGTGATGGTGGTTCTGCTGTCCACACTCCTTCCATCCACACTCCTGCCATCCACACTCCTTCCATCCACACTCCTGCCATCCACACTCCTTCCATCCACACTCCTGCCATCCACACTCCTCCCATCCACACTCCTCCCATCCACACTCCTCCCATCCACACTGCTCCCATCTAAACTTGCCCCTCCCCACATGTCCTCCTCTCTGCTATGATCTCTCAAAACGCGCTCTTGCGCCCCTGCCATCACCCCTCTGCTGCTCCCACTGCTCCTGCTGCTGCCCTGCCTTCCAAGCACACTAGCAAAAGCACCTGAAGAAGCACCTGAAGCACCATCACGAGCAGTAGCACCTGAAGCACCATCACGAGCAGTAGCACCTGCTGCTTTAGCTGAGAAACCTGATTGTTCAAGCCTTGAACCACATTCACTGTTTGTTCTTGACTCCCTTATTCGTTCTCCGTCTGTCCCTTCACACACAAGCACCTGTGCCCGCCTCTTTCTCCCCCCTTCCACCCCCTCTATTCTCGCTAGTTCCCTCCTTTCCGCTTTCCCTTCAGCCCTCTTGTCTTCCCTCCCGTCTCCCCTCCCGTCTATCCTCACTTCAAGCCCTTCATCTAAGCTTCTCTCCCCGACCACCACATCCTCCTCTCCTCTGCTCTCCTCCCTCCTCTCGTCCCTCTGCTGCTCCTCTAACTCCCTCCCTGCACTCCCACAACTGCTCCAACTCGAACCTCCATCTTCCTCCTCATCATCCTCCCCCTCCCCCTCCTCGTCCTCCTCCTCCCCTTCCCTCTGCTCCCCATCCCCTTCCTCTACCTCCTCACCACCCTCCTCCTCCGCCTCCCTTCTCCCTTCTTCCTCCTCCTCGTCCTCCTCCTCCCTTTCATCCTCATCACCCTCCTCCTCTTCCTCTTCTTCTTCCTCCTCCTCCTTCACCCCATGCAGACTACTCCTGTAGCTCTGAACACTAGACCCATCGTCAGCACCACCACCCACCCTCCCCCCCGCCACTGACCCCACCCCTTTAACACGAACCTCCCCTTCTCCCTCCCCTTCCACCGCTCTAAAACTGCCACTGCTTCTCTGAACACTACCGCCATCCCGTGCTGGTTTCGCAGACCAAGAGGAAGTGGAGGGCAGGTGGGAGGGGGTTGCGGAGGAGCAGGAGGAATGGGAGGAGCGAGTGTGCAGGACAGACGGGGAGGAGGAGAGTGAAGACGACGGGGTGATCTGCTGGTGATAATAGTGAGTAACGGGTGTATAGCCACCAGAAGCAGCAGCACCGCCAGCAGCACCACTAGCACCAGCAGCACCAGCAGCACCAGCACCAGCACCACTAGCACCACCAGCACCACTAGCACCAGCAGCACCAGCAGCACCACCAGAAGCAGCAGCAGCGGCGGCACCAGCAGCAGCAATCTTGGCTGTAGCGACCTTAGTTGTAGCAGTTCTGGCAGGAAAACTCCTGGCTGTAGCAGGCTCAATGGTAGAAACCCTGGCAGCCAAGCTTTGCTCCCTGGCTACAACCTCGGCTGTAGCAGCTATAGCCGCTGCACTTGTGCCTGAGCATGCGTTACCAACTTGACCTGGGTTACCACCTGTGCCAGTTACAGCTGCTGGGTTGTCATACACATCACTATTATAGTCACAATCATAATCATCATCATCAATAGCTGCAGCAGTAACAGCAGCAGCTGTAATAGGAGCAGCAGTGAGCTCGGAAGAAGGAGGGTAGGCAACCGGAACGGCAGAGGAGGACTGAGAGGAAGAGGAGGAGCCCGAGGGAGACAGAGGAGGAGAGGGACGAGGAGACTCAGAACGCAAAGCAGCACCGTCAGCATCAACCGCCCCAACTCCCTGACCATCGTCACCCTGAGCACCGGCCTGCCTTTGCAAACACTCCCACTCTCGTGCCGACGGTCGTCCCTTCTGAGCCAACTCACAGGATTCCCATTCCCGGGCTAAAGGTTGGGGTCCAGGTTGCCTACGGTTGCCTGGGAGAGTTGCAGGGCCAGGGGTTGAGTCCGAGGCTGGGCCTGGGCCTGGGCCTACCCTGATCGCTGCTGCAGCAGCGGCGGCAGCAGCGGCAACGGCACTGCTGACAGAGGCCCGCCCTGCTGCTGTCCCCACCCCTGCAGCTGGTGCTGCTGCTGCCGCTGCTGCTGATGCACTGTGCGAAACAGTGGGACGTGTGTGGCCCAGATGACCCTGCTGCTCCCCTGCTGCTCCAGATGACCCAGAGGCGGCAGCCTCAACAAGATGAGCGGATAGAGCTCTCGAACCCATGGCAACAGCGGCAGCACGAGCAGCAGCAGCCGCAGAAACAGACACAGAAGCAACCACACCTGTAGCACCAGTACTCCCACCCCCACCACTCCCAGCAGCCTCCAAAGCAGCAGCACCACCGCTACCAGCAGCACCGGCACCCCCAGCACCGAGGGTGCGGGCGCGGGTAGCATTGGGCCGGTGGCGGCCGCGAATGGGGTGGTTGGGGTAGCGAAAGTCGACGTTGCCTGACTGCAGCACGACACGTGAGGAGGAAGGATCCACCACCAGCACCACACAGCCTAGAGGGGGGCGGCGGGCACAGTAGCTTGCTGTGGTGGGGCCTGATTGCCTGTCGGGAGGGTGGTAAGAGGGGGGCGAACATCAGGGAGCAGATGAGGAGGAGGGATCCACCACCAGCACCACACAGCCTAGAGGGGGACGCCGGGCACAGTAGCTTGCTGTGTTGGGGCCTGATTGCCTGTCGAGAGGGTGGTAAGAGGGGGGCGAACATCAGGGAGCAGATGAGGAGGAGGGATCCACCACCAGCACCACACAGCCTAGAGGGGGACGCCGGGCACAGTAGCTTGCTGTGTTGGGGCCTGATTGCCTGTCGAGAGGGTGGTAAGAGGGGGGCGAACATCAGGGAGCAGATGAGGAGGGATCCACCACCAGCACCACACAGCCTAGAGGGGGCCGCCGGGCACAGTAGCTTGCTGTGGTGGGGCCTGATTGCCTGTCGAGAGGGTGGTAAGAGGGGGGCGAACATCAGGGAGCAGATGAGGAGGAGGGATCCACCACCAGCACCACACAGCCTAGAGGGGGACGCCGGGCACAGTAGCTTGCTGTGGTGGGGCCTGATTGCCTGTCGGGAGGGTGGTAAGAGGGGGGCGAACATCAGGGAGCAGATGAGGAGGAGGGATCCACCACCAGCACCACACAGCCTAGAGGGGGCCGCCGGGCACAGTAGCTTGCTGTGTTGTGGCCCGATTGCCTGTCGAGAGGGTGGTAAGAGGGGGGCGAACATCAGGGAGCAGATGAGGAGGAGGGATCCACCACCAGCACCACACAGCCTAGAGGGGGACGCCGGGCACAGTAGCTTGCTGTGGTGGGGCCTGATTGCCTGTCGAGAGGGTGGTAAGAGGGGGGCGAACATCAGGGAGCAGATGAGGAGGAGGGATCCACCACCAGCACCACACAGCCTAGAGGGGGCCGCCGGGCACAGTAGCTTGCTGTGTTGTGGCCCGATTGCCTGTCGAGAGGGTGGTAAGAGGGGGACGAACATCAGGGAGCAGATGAGGAGGAGGGATCCACCACCAGCACCACACAGCCTAGAGGGGGACGCCGGGCACAGTAGCTTGCTGTGGTGGGGCCTGATTGCCTGTCGGGAGGGTGGTAAGAGGGGGGCGAACATCAGGGAGCAGATGAGGAGGAGGGATCCACCACCAGCACCACACAGCCTAGAGGGGGCCGCCGGGCACAGTAGCTTGCTGTGGTGGGGCCTGATTGCCTGTCGGGAGGGTGGTAAGAGGGGGGCGAACATCAGGGAGCAGATGAGGAGGAGGGATCCACCACCAGCACCACACAGCCTAGAGGGGGACGCCGGGCACAGTAGCTTGCTGTGGTGGGGCCTGATTGCCTGTCGGGAGGGTGGTAAGAGGGGGGCGAACATCAGGGAGCAGATGAGGAGGAGGGATCCACCACCAGCACCACACAGCCTAGAGGGGGCCGCCGGGCACAGTAGCTTGCTGTGTTGTGGCCCGATTGCCTGTTGCGGGGGAAAAGGGATGGGAGAAGACAATATGTTAGGCAGTACCAGCACAACCAGAATCATGCACCCTAGAGCGGACAGCCAGGCAAAATAGCATGCGCGAAGTATTGCTGCCAGATTGCCTGTTGATTAAAGAGGATGAGATGATGAAGGGGCGAAAGGGGGCACACACTTACTACTGCGGTGGCGGCAGCGGCAGCTGAAAAAATCTCACCTTGACTTGCCAACCTGCATCCCGCCAACCACACTCATCCCAGCCACCCCTGCTGCTGCAGCACCTGCTGCTGCAGCCTCCCCCCTCCGCCTCTCCTCCCGTGCGCCCTCCCCCTCCCCCTGCGCGTTCTCCTTGCCCTTGCCCTTCCGCCCCTGCCCCCCCAGCAGCAGCGTGGTTGCAGAAAGCGCAGCAGCCTCTTTCAAGAGGGTGTGAGGCACTGACTTGCCTCGCACTATACGCACCTCCACCTCCATCTGAAGGGAAGGGGGAGCGCGAAGAAGCAAGAAAGAACGAGAGGGAGCGGCCTCTTTTAAGAGCGTGTGTGGCACTGACTTGCCTCGCATTATACTCACCTCCACCTCCATCTGAAGGGAAAGGGGATGGGAGGGAAGGAGGGAAGGGGAGGGGGGGAAAGGGGGAATAGGAGATGGAGCAGCCTCTTTCAAGAGCGTGTGTGGCACTGACTTGCCTCGCACTTTACGCACTTCCACTTCCATCTGAAGGGGGAAAGGGGGCGGGAAGGGAAGCAAGAGAGAGCGGGAAGGAGCAGCTTCTTTCAAGAGCGTGTGTGGCACTGACTTGCCTCACAACTATACGCACCTCCACTCCACTTCCATCTCAACATGCATTACGGAATTCATGTGAAGGAGGAACTAAATATGTGAAGACAGGACTCACCCCAGCCGCCCTGCATTGCCTCCTGTGCGGCTTGAGCAGGCGCGCGACCTCGTGTGACATGTTCCGTCTGAAGGAAGGAAGGAGGGACTCACTCCAGAGGCTCTACAAACAGTGCTTCCTGTGCGGTGCTTATCTGGAACAAGGACTTACCCCAGCCGCTCTGCATTGAGCGAGCGGCCTCGTGTGACATGTGCCGTCCGTCTTGAAAAAAGGAAGGAGGGACTCACTCCAGAGGCTCTACAGTGCTGCCTGTGCAGCTTTTGACGGACTGGACTCACCCCAGCCGCTCTGCATTGCCTCCTGTGGGGTTTCAACAGGCGCGCGACCTCGTGTGACATGTGCAGGTTGTACCCTCCCCACCACGCGCGCTCCCTGCTCTTCACCTCGCGCTTGTCGCTGCGGCCTGGGGGAGCGCGGAGGGAGGAAAACAGAAGGGAGTGCGGGGGAGGAGGGGGAGGGCGTGGAGAGGGGATCAGGATGGCTTTGTGTGACATGTGCAGGTTGTACCCACCCCACCACGCGCGCTCCCTGCTCTTCACCTCGCGCTTGTCGCTGCGGCAAGCACCGGCATGGGTTGAAGAAAGAGAAGTGACAGGAAGCTGCAATGAGGTGACTACCCTACCCTCCATGCGACACGTGCAGGCTGTACCCTCCATGCGACATGTGCAGGCTGTACCCTCCATGCGACATGTGCAGGCTGTACCCTCCATGCGACATGTGCAGGCTGTACCCTCCATGCGACATGTGCAGGCTGTACCCTCCACGCGACATGTGCAGGCTGTACCCTCCATGCGACATGTGCAGGCTGTACCCTCCACGCGACATGTGCAGGCTGTACCCTCCACGCGACACGTGCAGGCTGTACCCTCCACGCGACATGTGCAGGCTGTACCCTCCATGCGACATGTGCAGGCTGTACCCTCCATGCGACATGTGCAGGCTGTACCCTCCATGCGACATGTGCAGGCTGTACCCTCCATGCGACACGTGCAGGCTGTACCCTCCATGCGACAGGTGCAGGCTGTACCCTCCATGCGACACGTGCAGGCTGTACCCTCCACGCGACACGTGCAGGCTGTACCCTCCATGCGACACGTGCAGGCTGTACCCTCCATGCGACATGTGCAGGCTGTACCCTCCATGCGACATGTGCAGGCTGTACCCTCCACGCGACATGTGCAGGCTGTACCCTCCACGCGACATGTGCAGGCTGTACCCTCCACGCGATATGTGCAGGCTGTACCCTCCATGCGATACGTGCAGGCTGTACCCTCCATGCGACATGTGCAGGCTGTACCCTCCATGCGACATGTGCAGGCTGTACCCTCCATGCGATATGTGCAGGCTGTACCCTCCATGCGATATGTGCAGGCTGTACCCTCCATGCGATATGTGCAGGCTGTACCCTCCATGCGACACGTGCAGGCTGTACCCTCCATGCGATACGTGCAGGCTGTACCCTCCATGCGATACGTGCAGGCTGTACCCTCCATGCGACATGTGCAGGCTGTACCCTCCATGCGATATGTGCAGGCTGTACCCTCCATGCGATATGTGCAGGCTGTACCCTCCATGCGACATGTGCAGGCTGTACCCTCCATGCGACATGTGCAGGCTGTACCCTCCATGCGACATGTGCAGGCTGTACCCTCCATGCGACATGTGCAGGCTGTACCCTCCATGCGACATGTGCAGGCTGTACCCTCCATGCGATACGTGCAGGCTGTACCCTCCATGCGATACGTGCAGGCTGTACCCTCCATGCGATATGTGCAGGCTGTACCCTCCATGCGATACGTGCAGGCTGTACCCTCCATGAGATATGTGCAGGCTGTACCCTCCATGCGATATGTGCAGGCTGTACCCTCCATGCGATATGTGCAGGCTGTACCCTCCATGCGATATGTGCAGGCTGTACCCTCCCCACCATGCCCTTACCTTGTGCGACCAAACAAATCCTCCCTATCCCCTCTGCTCTCTGCAAGAATGAATGTACTGTCTTGAGTTTCTTCTTGACGAAACTGGGACTCAAATCGAGTGTGATAAGTCGATTTTTGAGTCGACTCAAAAATCGACTTATCTCTCTGCAAGAATGAATGTACTGTCTTGTGTTTCTTCTTGACGAAACTGGGACTCAAATCGAGCCACTCACACGTCTGTGACTGTTCTTCTTGGCCTTCACCTATCATCACCCTCTCCCCACCCATCCCAACCATTCTTAAACGGGACGCAAACCACGTCACCCACCTGGACCGGACTGAACCAGAGGAGTGACGGTGGCGACGTGCACGAGCACCAGCTTGCCGCCGCGCTTCACCATATTCTCAATCGCGAAGTCCACCATCCTCTGACCGCTTTCATTCACATCCACACCCACCTCCACCACTCCACGTACCACCACCTTTGGAAGGGCCTCAGGCCAAGGCAGTCAGTCGGCGGGCGTTTTGGAACTGGGGCGTTTGCAGACCAGGTCAGACGGAGTGACTCACCTGGGCCCGGCTGTACGAGGGGAGTGACGGTGGCGACGTGCACGAGCACCAGCTTGCCGCCTCGCTTCACCATATTCTCAATCGCGAAGTCCACGATCTTCTGGCCGCTTTCATTCACATCCACACCCACCACCACCACTCCCCCGACTCTCTGCCGTATCCGCTCCCTTTCCTCCGCCGCTTTCGCCGCTTCCTTCGCGAGCCGCTCCTCGTACCGCCGCTGCTTCGCCTTGCGAAGCGTACGTACGTCCGGGTCGAGGTTCGGGTCGTCATCGGAGATGTAATCGTCGATGTAATAGTCGTACTTGTCGTTGTGTATGGGAGCGACGGAGAAACACGAAACCATGGCTCTTGGCGTTACAACTGGACTTGCTACCACAAACGAGGTCTCTATTAACGAGTACGGACTTTAATTTACATCAGGCAAGTCGTAAAGGTGACAGTCAGTGCAATAGTCGTAGTTGAAGTAAATAATATTAGCAACTGCGAAGCGCGATACCATAGCTGGATGCTGCAGATGGGCCTTATTCTTTCGAAACAAACACTACAGGAGAAATTAGTAATAATATTTCAGACTACTGGAGCTATCGAGAAAAGGACGGCATTGTGGTGACTCTTACGCCAACGGGAAAGTCACCAATAAATAAGTTCACAGCTGTTGCTAAGAGACAACTAGCCAGCCTTGTCTAGACGATAGAACCACTTCAAACGCTTGCCTACGAACAAACTCACAACTAGCCAAAGGCAGGGTCTTCCCTTCACCGACAGAAGTGGGACCTTGCCTGCCTGTGTCAGCCATGAAATACAACCTGACACCTGACCCCATTTAGATGTGTGCTGCGAGGGGTGTTCGCGAGGACCCCCTAAAAAGCTTGAAATTAGGGTTTCTGCTTTCACCCGCAACTGCAGGCTAGCGAGCGTGCAGGCGAACGGGGAAACGGGGGAACGGACAGACGGACATTCGAAAGAGTGGAGGTGGTACAGTTGTAACGCGTACTGTTCGGGGTGGGGAGCTGCTTTGCTGCTCCGTTCGTACGATCGCACGTTGCTCGCACTGCGTGGCGGGTGCCGCTCCATCCACCAATCAGGACTTCAGGTTGCCGGCCAGGGGGACTAAGCACGCGTCCCCTCTCACTTGATCGTGCAATATCGACCGCACTGACACCCCGCCTGATGCATTCAACAACTAGCAGAACCTTCTCTGACCCCGCCAAAAATCGACCCTGCGCAGGATCGATCGAGGGAATGAACGCGTCCGGGGTTAAAAACATTTCCGATAGTTTTGAATGTCGCAAGAAGGGTTTCAGTGCGGTGGAGGTCCGATTTCGCAGGATCGATCGCAGGTTCGGGGGGAAGAAGACGCGTCGAAAAAATGTCAGGAATGGGATTCGAACCCATGCCCTTTCGGACAAAAACCTGAAACTGGCGCCTTAGACCAACTCGGCCATCCTGACATGGTTAGTAGTAGACATTAACATTACTTTAATTCTCGTATAGAACACATTTCGGAAATGCATTTGGGTAAGAAAACCTGGCTGGAGTGCCATCTTGCATTAAACTGTTACTGACAGTGGATCGCTGTTACTTAAGGAATTTTCTACAGAGCAGATGTTACTGTACAGGTGCTACTCTTCTTCTGAGTCCGAGTTTGCGCCGACACCAGCAGGCAGCAGGTTGAGAAACGGCAGCACGAGCAGAGAGGAGAAGTTGCAGATGGCGATGAGCGTGGGCAGGTTGGTGAAGTTGGTGCTCGTCACTCCCAGCCAGTTGGTCAGCCCAGCGCCCATCACCCCCCCAAAGACGCTCGCCCCGTTGCTGACAGACATGAGTGTTGCGAAGAGCGTTGCTTCGATGCCCGGGGGGCAGACTCGAGCTGCTAGCACCAGCACTGGCATGAAGGAGATCTGTGAGATGGGGGCAGGAATAGAAATGGGGGAAGCAAGGAAAGGGTTGGCCAGCCCAGTGCCCATCACCCCCACCACCCCCCCCCCCCCCCCCCCCCCCCCCCCCCCCCCCCCCGAAGATGCTCGCGCCGTTGCTGACAGGCATGAGCGTTGTGCCAAAGAGGTCGGTCGGTTAAATGTGTGCGTGGCGTTACCTGCCCCAACACAGAGAGTATGAGGAAACAGACCACAGCTATCACCTGCCCCAGATATTACCCGACCCATGTCTCATCTGTCCCATGTCTCATCTGTCCCATGTCTCACCTGACCCATGTCTCACCTGACCCAGGTCTCACCTGCCCCAGGTCTCACCTGCCCCAGCTATTACCTGCCCCAGTTCTCACCTGTCCCAGCTGCCCCAGCTCTCACCTGTCCCAGCTATTACCTGCCCCAGTCTTCACCTGTCCCAGCTATTACCTGCCCCAGGTCTCACCTGTCCCAGCACGGTGAGTATGAGAGAGTCCCCCAGCAGAAACTACTGGTCGCTGATTCCCAGAGAGCGGTTGAGACCGGTGACAAGGAGTAGCTGAGACGAGGTGGACAATACATGGGGAGAATGCGTGGTGAGCAAGAGTAAGCGGGAGAAAGGTGGCAGTGAGTGAGGCAAGGGCGTGTAGCAGCATGCAGCTAGAGTCATGCAACATGGAGAATCACTTTTGAGAATTCTCAAAAGTGATTCCCAGCTAGAGTCATGCAGCATGGAGTCACTTCAGAGAGTTGCCAACAGTGACTTCGCACCCACCCAGAACTGTCTCGGGTGCTCAGACTCACTAGACTCGGCTCTCCCCCCACCCCACGTCTCACCTGTGTGGAGCCCAGGAGGGCTCCAGCGATGTTGGTCCAGAGGAACAGCTTCCTGAGAGGCACCTCTGTCAGGCAGAAATTGAACACCCCCACCCCTGCCAGGCAGGGAGGGCCAAGGCTGATTGTTGCCTTGTCTGCTTGCTTAATGGCTCACCTGTGTGGAGCCTGGGAGCGCCCCAGCCACGTTGGTCCAAAGAGAGGGCTTCCTCAGCGGCACCTCTTTGAGGTAGACATTGAACACCCCCACCCCTGCGAGCGAGGCGAGGAGTGCTTGTAGCCTTGTGCGAGCCAACCATAGGGATGTACCGTACCGTGTACCTGGGGTGGGGGGGGAGCCTTTCTGTCTCACCTGTGTGGAGCCCAGAAGGGCTCCAGCAATGTTGGTCCAGAAAAAGAGCTTCCTGAGAGGCACCTCTTTCAGGTAGAAGTTGAACACGCCCACCCCTGCCAGGGAGGCCAGGGCGGTGACGAGGCGGACGCGGCCCAGGAACTCAGGGCCGAAGCCCAGCTCGTTGGTGCTGTGGGGGAAATGGGAAGGAACGGAGAAGGGAATGTGTCAGGGAGTTTGGGCTAGCAGAGCGCCTTGAGGTGTGTCCAAACACCTGGTGGGGAGGCGAGCGCTGTGACGAGGCGGACGCGGCCCAGGAACTCAGGGCCAAAGCCCAGCTCGTTGGTGCTGCAGAAATGGAAGTGGAGATGGGGATGAGGGGAGAGACTTTCTGTTGTAACGCATTGTTTGGGCAGCTGTAAACACCTGGCAGCGAGGCGAGGGCTGTCAAGAGGCGGACGCGGCCCAGGAACTCAGGACCAAAGCCCAGGTCGTTGGTGGTGTGGTGAGGGAGCAAGGGGTGGGGGTCAGGTTGGGGGTTGGGGTGGGAGGAGTGTGGAAGATTGTGGGAGCTTAGATAGCTTGGAGCAGGGAAGCCAGGGCGGTGACGATTGTGGGAGCCTAGGCACTGCTGCTCACTGGAATTATGTCAGAGGAAGCCAGGGCGGTGACGAGGCGGACGCGGCCCAGGAACTCACGGTCGTTGGTGCTGTGGTGGGAGAGGGGGTTGGGGCGTGGAGCGTGGCCTGCCAGAGGAAGATGAAGGCGGTGGGCAGCAGAATACTCATGCCCACACCCACGCCCATGCCCATGCCCATGCCCATGCCCATGCCCATACCCAAGCCAAGCCCTGACGCACTCACGTAAAGAAGAACATAGCAGTCTCGGAGTGCGGAGTGGCCTGCCAGAGGAAGATGAATGCGGTGGGCAGCAGAATGGCGGGCTGGCGAATGGTCTCCCACAGAAACACCACCTGTCCCCACGCCCACGCCCACGTCTCCCTCGCTCCGCCCCCTGCTGCTACTACCCCTCCTCCCACTCCTCCCAACGCTCCTCCTTCCGCTCCCCCTACTGCTCCTCCTTCCCCTTGTCTGTCTCCTCGGCCTTCTCCTACTCTTCCAAGCTCTTCCCCTGTCCCTCCTGCTGCTGCGCCAGTGGTTGTACTGTACTTGCTGCTGGTAACTTCAGTGCTCGTGGTAACCCTAGTGCCTGTGGTAACCCTCTCCTCTGGGACGTAGAATCCGACAGCAGTGGTGATGAGAGGCAGCAGGGCTGTCACTCCGAACACAAACCTGGATGGGAGGGGTACGAAGAGGTGTAGTGGGACTCAGAACGGTGGGGAAGGAGGGTGGATGATGAAGGGAAGCAGGGGAATTGCGGCATTTGAAGGAGAAGGAGAAGGGGAAAATGCAGAAGTGAAGGAAAATTCAGCAGACGAGGGCTGAGACTAGAGGGATGAGACTAGAGGGATGAGACTAGAGGGATGAGACTAGAGGCGACGAATGAAGCATAAGACAGATGAGGACAAAGGCAGGGTGCAGCGATGAAACATGGATTGCATGCTCACAGACAGACTCGTTCTCTCTCTAACAAGCACGCCGTGCATGTGCCCACACTCACCTTGTGCCGTAATTTTCAATGAAAGATCAACTGAAATACGCTGAGAGCACAGCCCCCACTGATGACAACCCCCAGCAGAGCGACTGCAGCCAGCCTGATGCGCTGTGGCGGCTGGTGTTGCGTTGTGTTTGCACTGCTTCTCACATGTACAGCACACAGAGCCACTCTCTATCACACACACTCGCACTCACCGTGTGCCGTAATTCTCAATGAGCGAGCCACTGAAATACGCTGAGAGCACAGCCCCCACTGCCGACGACCCCCAGCAGAGCGACTGGAGCCCGCCTGATGTAGCCTGCGACTCGCCCCTCGCCCTCTGCACCACCATTGAGTCTACCACCTGGGGACGCGGGTGGGGGGGTGTATTGTGTAGAGCATGGGAGGGAAAGACAATGGTGCATGTAAAGGAAAACCCCCGATGTGGCCTGGGACTCGCCCCTCGCCCTCTGCACCACCATTGAGTCTACCACCTGGGGGCAGCGAGCGAGGGGGGAGAGAGGGGAGGTTGGCGGGGTATGAAACACACAAGAACAGGCGATTTTTGAGGCACCACCACCTGCGACCGGGAGGGAGAGGAGGGAGGAGGGGGAGAGAGGGGAGGTTGGCGGGGTATGAAACACACAAGAACAGGCGATTTTTGAGGCACCACCACCTGCGGCCGGGAGGGAGAGGAGGGAGGAGGGGGAGAGAGGGGAGGTTGGCGGGGTATGAAACACACAAGAACAGGCGATTTTTGAGGCACCACCACCTGCGACCGGGAGGGAGAGGAGGGAGGAGGGGGAGAGAGGGGAGGTTGGCGGGGTATGAAAGACACAAGAACAGGCGATTTTTGAGGCACCACCACCTGCGGCCGGGAGGGAGAGGAGGGAGGAGGGGGAGAGAGGGGAGGTTGGCGGGGTATGAAACACACAAGAACAGGCGATTTTTGAGGCACCACCACCTGCGACCGGGAGGGAGAGGAGGGAGGAGGGGGAGAGAGGGGAGGTTGGCGGGGTATGGAACACACAAGTACAGGCGATTTTTGAGGCACCACCACCTGCGACCGGGAGGGAGAGGAGGGAGGAGGGGGAGAGAGGGGAGGTTGGCGGGGTATGAAACACACAAGAACAGGCGATTTTTGAGGCACCACCACCTGCGACCGGGAGGGAGAGGAGGGAGGAGGGGGAGAGAGGGGAGGTTGGCGGGGTATGAAACACACAAGAACAGGCGATTTTTGAGGCACCACCACCTGCGGCCGGGAGGGAGAGGAGGGAGGAGGGGGAGAGAGGGGAGGTTGGCGGGGTATGGAACACACAAGAACAGGCGATTTTTGAGGCACCACCACCTGCGACCGGGAGGGAGAGGAGGGAGGAGGGGGAGAGAGGGGAGGTTGGCGGGGTATGAAACACACAAGAACAGGCGATTTTTGAGGCACCACCACCTGCGGCCGGGAGGGAGAGGAGGGAGGAGGGGGAGAGAGGGGAGGTTGGCGGGGTATGAAACACACAAGAACAGGCGATTTTTGAGGCACCACCACCTGCGACCGGGAGGGAGAGGAGGGAGGAGGGGGAGAGAGGGGAGGTTGGCGGGGTATGGAACACACAAGAAGAGGCGATTTTTGAGGCACCACCACCTGCGACCGGGAGGGAGAGGAGGGAGGAGGGGGAGAGAGGGGAGGTTGGCGGGGTATGAAACACACAAGAACAGGCGATTTTTGAGGCACCACCACCTGCGACCGGGAGGGAGAGGAGGGAGGAGGGGGAGAGAGGGGAGGTTGGCGGGGTATGAAACACACAAGAACAGGCGATTTTTGAGGCACCACCACCTGCGGCCGGGAGGGAGAGGAGGGAGGAGGGGGAGAGAGGGGAGGTTGGCGGGGTATGAAACACACAAGAACAGGCGATTTTTGAAGCACCACCACCTGCGGCCGGGAGGGAGAGGAGGGAGGAGGGGGAGAGAGGGGAGGTTGGCGGGGTATGAAACACACAAGGAGGTTGGAGGAGAGGGGAGGCGATTTTTGTGGCACCACCACCTGAGGCCAGGAGGGAGAGGAGGGAGGAGGGGGGGAGGGCGGGAGGGGATCGAAGGGGAGTGCGGGTGTGGCAGGGCAAGTATAGAACACAGCCCATACGGCACACTGCAGCCATCACACACTGCACCACAGGGCACCGCACTCCACCACGCATCACACCACTCACCACGTCAGAAACAGCAGCAGAGAGCGAGGAGAGCAGGATCATGGCCACAGCGGAGTACTTATCCCCCACCACCGTCGTCGCCCTCCCCACGCAAGGGACCCCAGCAGGCCACAGGCCACTAGGTAGGAGCGACGGCAGTAGCACTACCACCACTTTGCACACCACAACACCACACTGCACCGCACCGCCTAACACCACTCACCACATCAGAGACGGCAGCAGAGAGCGAGGAGAGCAGGATCATGGCGACAGCAGAGTACTTATCCCCCACCACCGTCGCCAGCGCACCCCATGCAAGGGAACCCAACAGGCCACACGCCACCAGGTAGGAGCGCCGGCGGTAGCCAAAGAGGGGGATGCCGTCACTGATGAAGCCGTAGATGGGCTTGATGAGCCAGGGGAGGGAGGAGAGGCCTGATAGGACTGCCACCTGGGGGAAGGGGAAGGGGGGATGGGGTAAAGGGGGGGTTGGTAGGAGGGGGATGCCGTCACTGATGAAGCCGTAGATGGGCTTGATGAGCCACGGCAGGGAGGAGAGGCCTGATAGCACCGCTACCTGAACAGGAGGGAGGGGTGGGGTTAGAACGATGGAGGGAGGAGAGGGTGGATGCAGGCGGTAGCCAAAGAGAGGGATGCTGTTGCTGGTGAAGCCGTAGATGGGCTTGATGAGCCAGGGCAGGGAGGAAAGACCCGATAGCACCGCTACCTGGGGAAAGGGAATTGGGAAAAGGAGAGAAGAGGGCATCTGAAACGGACGGGGGGGAATGGTAAGAGAGGGATGGTGTCGCTTATGAAGCCGTTGATGGGCTTGATGAGCCACGGGAGAAAGGAGAGACCCGATAGCACCGCTACCTGAGGGGGAAGGGGAAAGGAGGATGGGAGGAATGGCATTGCACGGCACGAGGTGGGAACGGCGGCGGTAGAAGAAGAGAGGGATGCCGTCACTGATGAAGCCGTAGATGGGCTTGATGAGCCAGGGGAGGGAGGAGAGGCCTGATAGCACCGCTACCTGAGGGTGTGGCGAATAGGGGGAAGAGAAGGGAGTAAGTGCTGATTTCAGGATGTGAGATGGAATGATAGATGGGCTACCATTGCAGGGAGGAGAGGGATGAAAACACTGTTAGTTCGGCCAATGAAGGATCGAGAGAGGGGAAGGGAATTGGGAAGAAGACATTGAGAGTGCAACAACACACTTCTCACATGAGCCATGGCAATGCTTCGTTCGCACCTCAGCCGGGTCGAGCCCAAAGTCGTCCTTGAGCAGGAAAGTGACGGCAACGGCAAGGCGCGCCAAGCCCAGCACGCTCAGTGTGGCATACCTACGATATGACCCCAGGCGCACTCACTCACTCACACACACACACTCACCTCAGCCGGGTCGAGCCCAAAGTCGTCCTTGAGCAAGAAAGTGACGGCAAGGCGCGCCAAGCCCAGCACGCCCTGCACGAAGTACACACTCGCGATCGCCACCACCTCCGGGGAGACGGCGCTTGCTCTCTCCGCCACCCACGCGGGCATCCCCGTGGAGAGAACGCGGAGAGAAAGCTCTGAAGGCGTGGAGAATTCCCCGCTTGGTGATGCCTGTTCCCCTGCTGTATGTTCCCCTGCTGTCTGCTCCCCTGTTGTCTGTGAGTCGGCTCTCTGTAAGCTGGCATCAGCTTTCGTGTTCTCCGGCTGTGAAGCGCCTGCTGACTCCTGATGCTGCTGCTCTTGCTGGTGCTTGTGCTTGCGTGGTGGTACGTCAGGGAAAGCCTCTGTAGGTTGCGAGGTAAGGAGAGGGGGAAAAGGGGTGTGGGGGGAGAGGGTGGGGAGGAGTGACAGCGGAGGAAGAGAGGCCATAGGGGAGGGAAGTGAGTGAGGATAAACTGTGAATCAGTGTTCCGTGCTGGCTTTCTGCTGTAGGTTGTTTTTCAGGATTCCCAGAATCAACCTACAACAATAGGGGAGTGAGTGAGGATGGGCTGTGAAGTGGTCTGTGCTGGTTTCCTCCAAGCCAAAATGGCTCGGCGAGTAATAAAACCGGGTTACCTCATAACCACACCTCGGATGTCGTCGCCTTCGATGACCGACTTCGCACGGCAGCTAAATCGTCTTCCCTGCGATTGGCGAAGGCCATTGCATTCTAACCGTTCATTTCCGAAACTCCGGCCGCTGAATTCGGAGGCCAGCGACTGCCGAAATAGGACACTACGATGGGACGATTTCCGGTAACATTGGTACGAACGGGACTGATAAGACTGATGAGAAGCACGAGGACAGGAGGCGATCGATTGCCGAGCGGTACGGAAACAACTCAACGCCATACTACCGCAGGTTGAGAGGCATGTTACCGCTAATTCAGCCATTCCTCCGGTGTACACTCCGCCGTATCAGAAGACCAGCGGACACGATGGCTAAGGTTTTATCAAGGTCGTAACCAAAACCAGCGGACACGATGGCGTTGTATCAAGGATACACGACTTCTGGAGTGGCTTCACAAACGGTTCAGAGAAACATAAGTTTCAAGCGTAGTAGAGCTTCGGATAACAAACTGCTCTAGCCAGAACTACCTGACCAGACGAAATTGCCGCCTGTTTCGTGACCAGAAAATGCACGTTGATGGAAATGCCTGGTGCTTGTCTCGGGCGAAAACGGAATTTCCCAGACATTGGTTTTGACGTGGCTGAATAGAATAATCTACGTTTCAGAGCTCTGACAAGGGTTTTCAAGGCTGTATGGTGAGGTACCTAGCAGTAATTAACTTCATGGGTGACCAATAACCAAGCGCGAACAACCTGGTAGCTTGTCAGTGCTCGTTGTGATAGGTTCAATTTTCGCGGTGGTAACACGTGGCATCGTCTCGCTCTGTACGATGAATCTGAGTTCGGAACAAGGCAAGGAAAAAATCCTCGTTATACTTCGGATGCGGCGCTCTATAACTCCTACAACTGAAAATTGACTAGTCAGATTAGAATCAGAAAGAGTCTGTTTTCCAACTCGTGTTGCGTTGCGAGCGGCAGTTGCGGAATGGCGTCTAGTTCAAGCTCGCGGCGCATTGGACAGGCGTTTTCAGCGGCGTCTCCGTCCTTCATGCGCTCGGCTTTCCAGGCCTGGCCACGAGATCCTGGTCTGATCATCGCTTCGATCCGAGCACACTCCGTGCAACAACACGCGCATTTCTGCAGCCACGGCATCTCGAGCTCCTTACATCCCCGCGAATCGGTTCAGCGCCCGTTACTGTCACTATCGCCACCTTTTCGCCATGTGTCGTCCCGGTTCATCTCCGCTCCAACGACCCGTCATAATCACTGGCATTTACAGTCACTTCATTCAGCAACCCGGATTGCCCGACCAACGATCCACGGTCCAGATCTCTCCTCCGCATTGCCAGCCGTCGTTCCCGTCCGCTCTCTCAATATCTTTACTGTTTTCCGGAAGGAGTCGCGGGAAAAGGAAATAGAACGCTTGAAGGACGAATTGAACCGCGGATACTTCGACGATTTTAAGGAGCTCAAGGAAACTGCCGGGAAACTGGGCCCTTTACCCACCGCGTCGCCGCTTCCAGCCGCTGGAGCCGCGTTGTTTCCGCGAATTACGGGAACCACGGCATCCAGGGCGTCAGTGGAGCTGCCTCTCGATCTGCAGGGTGACACGTGTCGAGTCGTTCTGGTCTGCGTGGCGTTCCGTGCAAACGCTCAGGTACTTATGTCTGCTCTACTTCCCGCTATACGTTGGGTGGATACAGGGAGCAGTGTCTCTCAAAAAGCAGTATCTCACATATCTTCCTGCCTTTTGTGAAACAGCTAACTTTCCTCTCTTGTGAAATGTTCCCCTCTCACTCCACTGATATCACCACTATGCCTCACTCCCAAGCCACTCTCATCAAACTCTCAAGTTAACTCTTTTCAATGTCTTTTTTCACCCCTTTTATTTCTTGCTGTTCAGGCCATGGTGGAATCTTGGCTAAAACCCTTCCTCCAGCACGCCTCCAGCAGCTCATCTTCCGCCACTTCCTCACCTTCAACCCCTTCCCACACTCCCGCACCGGCTTCCACCGCACCCGACTCCTCTCAACCCACGGGTAGCTTACCCAACCGCTTTCCACCGGGCTCTGTGCGCGCGGTGCACATCTCGTGGATCGAGTCTTGGCTGCTGTCAACCCGACCCATCCGATCCTGGCTGCTCAGCAGCTTGCGTGGAGCTGAGGCCAAGCAGCAGGCACGCTTGGCGGATGCTGTTGGTTCAGAAGGAGTGGATGGGATTCTGACGAATGTATATGCATTCGGTGACACGTGGGATTTCAGGAAGAAACTGGGCATTATTAACAGGCTCACAGGGTAAGTACTCCTTTGCACCTACTCCGTTGGCTGACGGGGTGATTATTCCCTTTCTGCCTAGTTTTGTGCAGTTTTTTTAACCTAGCATTCCTTCATTCACCCTTTTTTGTCATTCCTTTCCATTTGCCCTGCTCCGTTGTCCTCTTGCTTGCAGCTATGCATTCCTAGTGGATGCAAAAGGCCGTGTTCGATGGCGTGCATCAGGAACAGCCTCTGATGACGAAGTGACATGCTTGCTTTCTGCTACTGATAAGCTTTTGAAAGAATGATGTACTGTAACAAAAAGTCATGACAAAATAAAAGAGGCAATGCACTGCATTTTTTCAACCAGTTCTTTGCACTCTGCTAGGACTTTATGTACATACACTGTAAATAGTATAAACCCCTGTACCTAGGAATATTGTAAATACGGTATAATCAGCCAGTTTCAGGTACTGGTCTGCAAGGGCATGGGTGGGTTCAGTCCCATTCCCGACATGCAATCCCCCATGATGCAGACATGCAGGCACCTTCTCACTCATCTCACCACTCATTGAAAGTTTAGTTTGACAGGTGGTGACAGCCAGCCGGCCGTCTACTGGCTGGCTGCAGTATCACAGCTCACTGGTTAATCTTGAGAACCCTCAGAAGGTACCGTATACGGTCTGCTGCTCTGCTACCGTATTACAGCAGCACATTGGAAACTGGAATGTCCATTCAGAGAGCTATGCTTCAGGTGGGTGGGCGCATGAGTGTGAGTGAGTGGATGCTCTTTCTGCATACCGGTACCGTCATCGCCCGGATATAAGACATATATGTCTTATCTCGTACACGGGCAAAAATGCTTGAGTTATCTTGTAAACGGGATGGTTTAGGGTGTCTTATAAGTCTTATAAATGGAAACTTTTTAAACTACTTAGAAATATTTTCCGTACTTCTTGAAAAAGAGTTTCTCATAATGAGTGTGGATGTTGCGAAGGTGCCACTTCGACAACCTCTGCCCCGGACGCCACGTTATGGAGAACACCTGCAGGGGCAAATTTGGTAGGTCCTGGGTCAGCGCGTGGAAGAATTCGCGCTTCGCAAGGGTAAAAATGTACGCGGTATTTCAACTTTCGCTACAATTTATTGAAGTTTCGATTATAAGACATATATGTCTTATCTCGTACACACAAATAGGTGTTTTATAATGAGGCTAGCCTGTTTATAAGAGACACCCGTATAGCAGACAACCCCTGTCTACTATTCAACACTGTCTTATATCCGGGTGATGACGGTATGTGACTTGACGACGAGCCTTTTAGTCCAATGACTAGACTAGACTAAAAGGTTCTAGTCCTGCAGACTTGACGACGAGCCTTTTAGTCTAGTCATTACACACTGCATCAGCCTGACAGGTTGAGAGACCGTTTTTCAAGCTCAGCTCCGTACTTCCAGCTTCCTTCCTTGCCCCTTCTTTTCCTTCTAAACTCGCTGCTTTATGTTTAAGCTACTTTCTTGTGGGATTCGTGCTCACATGGAAAACTTTGCGTGGGAGAAATCCATTTCGGAGTGCAGCACACAGGGAAGAGGGTGAGTTGAGTCGAGTGATGGAATGTTGTGTTGGAAAAAAGCGGGCTCATTACATGCGCTTCCCTTGTGGGCCTCGTGCTCACATGGAGAACTTTGCGTTGGAGAAATCCATTTCAGGGTGCTGCGCACAGGGAGGAGGGTGAGTTGGTAGGGGGGTGAGGGAGAGGACGAGGGTGAGTGAGAAAGGGGGTGAGAGAGGAAGGAGAGGGTGAGAAGGGCTAAGGGTGGAGGAGGAGAGGAAGAGGGTGAGTGAGAAGATGCCATAGTGGAAGGGGACAGAGTAGATGGTAGGAACGGAAAGGGAATGGGAATGGGAATGTGGGGAAGAATGCTGGGAAATCAAAGAGAATGTATGAACACTCCGAAGCCTCAAAAGCCACCCACCTGAGCCCAAGAAACCAGCCACCTGAAAACCCACCTGAGCCCAAGAAACCAGCCACCTGAAAACCCACCTGAGCCCAAGAACCCACACATCCGAGCCCATAAACCAGCCACCTGGAAACCCACGTGAGCCCAGAAACCACACACCTGAGCCAGCAACCACCCACCTGAGCCATGAACTTCTTGAGAATGTCCTGCTTCTGCTGCTCCTCACTCATTGAACCCATCTGCTTTTGAGGCACCTCAAAACCCACCCACCTGAGCCAGCAACCATCCACCCACCCACCCACCCACCCACCTGAGCCATGAACTTCTTGAGAATATCCTGCTTCTGCTGCTCCTCACTCGTTGGTAGCCCCATCTGCTTCTGCCGTTGGTCGTACTGCGGGCGAACAGGGGGGAGCGAAAGAGGTAAAGGGGAAGCAGGGGGGAAAGGGGGGGAAAAGGGGGGAGTGGAAGATGAGTGAGCAACAGGAGCGATCCCGGAAGGTAAGAAGCAATTGAGAAGTTTCTCCGCACTTTCTGTGACCTGATTAACAGTCTGCCTGCGATTGCCCAGCTTGCTGTTCCTACACACATGCACGAACTCTC